GGTTGGTTCCTCGTCCATCTTTCCCGGCACCGTGCTCGAATTGTGAAGCGGGGAAGAGTGCATCAGTCGTGATGACTTAATGTTGGGGTCTTGTTGTAGGCGTTCTTCTTCTAGTTGGAGACAAGCTAGGCGAGATCGGGATGGTGTAGGACTAGGAGGGAATGTACCCGGTAGAGACGTAGATCTGCCTGGTGTAGATGGCGGGAGATAAGGTTTCTCGGAAGCAGGAGTAGGCCGGGGAGGAACACTAGCAAAAAGAATTCTGTTGGTGGTATACCTTCCGGCTTCTTCAACCGAGCGTTGTTGAAAGTGGGGGACAGGGGTGGTCGATCGACGGATAATGCTCTCGGGATCGTCTACCCGGGACAGAAGATCACTAGAGATGCTGCGAGTCGAAGGTGGGGGGTTCATGCAGGTTTGTACAAGGAAGAATTAGGATGAGCAAGGTTTGATAAGTTTGTAAATCCGGGGTGATGTTGTAAGAACTAGGTTCTTCCGAAGTAATAAGAACAACGTTCTTCTGAAGTTTTCAAAGGATGTTTCTTTTCTTGCGAGTTTGGTTCGAGAAAAAAAAAGTGTAAAGGACTGATATGTCCTCACTCGAAGGTGATTTTAAAGGAACTCTTTCTCGGAGGGAGCTGAGGATCAAGTGCCACGGAGTGGACTTCAAAGTTCTAGAACCAAGGTATGTTATCTTTATTTCTAGCTCCGAAGATATTGAAATATGAGATCAGCTCAGTATTCCCTAAGGACAGTCTACAATTGATAATAATGAAAAGATAGAAAGGATAAGAGAAATGTGTTTAATCAAAATGCTCACCTAGCTCCGAAGATATTGAAATATGAGATCAGCTCAGTATTCCCTAAGGAGCCAGGATTTGTGTGTGATGAATTTGAAAGAAATATGAAAACAGTCTTAGGTCCTAAGTCTAGGTATGTATGTAACTTTAAGGTGTAATGATGTAAGTCATTACACAACGCCTTGAATAGAAGCCATTCTAACAGCAGCGAAGAAGTTAGAGCTAGAAGACGAACCGAGGAAGAAGAAGAACCCTGTTTTAGTGAAGAATTTATTTAAATTAGTTGAGAAGTTAACGGACGGGGTTATGGAGAATCAAGTTGCTTACACAGTTGCCTTAGTGGCATTTCGGGGAATGGCCAGGATGGGAGAGTTGGTGAAGCCTGCGTCGAATCATGACCAAGTTAGGGTGAAAGACTTAATTTGGGATCCGAAAGGTACTTACTTGATAATAAAAATACGAGCAGCGAAAACAGCGGCGGTAGGAGAAATTCAAGAAATTCACCTACAGACACAACCTTCACTTTTAGACCCAGTGTCAGCTGTACGTCGCTTACTAGAGGATACCAACGCGACAGACGATGATCCTATTTTCTCATACCCGAAGGGAAATAAACGAGTGACCTTGACAAAAACAAGATGTCAGAAATTGTTCTCGGAAGCTTGGAAAGCGCAAGACGGATGTGTCCTTACAGGCCATTCCTTTTCGGTCGGAGGAGCTTCGTTAAGGTGGAATCTTAATAGTCCTCTGGAGGAGATCGTAGCGGTTGGTCGGTGGAAATCTAAGGCGTATAAACTATATATCAGGGAGTATAAGGAGGAAGATCTTTTAGAGACTTTACGTATTTTGGAGAACTTGAGGTTTCAGGAGTGATCGGTGATCAGATCGAGTGGTCGACAAGTGAAATAAAGACTTTAAGTTTGATCTAACGGAAATACAGTATGGATGCTTCTACAAGAAGATTGTCACGTGTGTGTGTATATTGGCATTTGGGGGTCGTGTATTGACCCAAGCCACAGTGTGCGGGAGATCACATGCTCAGGACTGTGTCCCGAGTCAAGGGGAAGCGCTCTCCCGCCCACTGTCGCTGGTGGTCCTACCTCCCTCGGCCCTTGTCAAGGCTGGGCCCCCCCCCAAGAAGCCGAAGTACTTCATTACGAGTACTTCTGGTTTGCCTAGGACAAACCAAAGACAAAACTTAATATACTGTAATCGTAAATAAGTTTGACGTTTAGTACAAGGAATGAATAATAAAAGAAAATTAAAAATTAACAACCCATCCCTAGACATCGTTGAGTAAAGAGTGGATAGGTACTATACATACTCATAGCCCATAATGTTTGATTAAAGCCCCCAAAACAAAACTTTTCAGGAACAGGATCCCGTACTTGGGTCTTATTATGTCACAAAATCAAATGAGGATGGATGAGACTAAGGTATCATTAGTGAAAGAATGGCCTAAACCTTGAAATCTATTGGAAGTCCAAAATTTTTTATACTTTGCAAATTTTCACCAATGCTTTGTAATCTATTTTTCAAAAACAGCATGACCACTTCATGAAATATCTCAAAAAGCTGTCAAGTTTGAATGGACAGTGGCAAGAAATGAAGCTTTTGAAATGTTGAAAACTGCCTTTACATCAGCACAGCTCTGAAGATTGCAAATCATTCACCATGTCCTTGTGGCAGTTGCTTGACAACGAGCGCACACACACAAGAACACAGTGATTACAAACCATTCATTCTGGAATGTTTGGATTTTGTGTTAAGTTCAGTACACTCACAATTCTCAGATGATGATCAAGAACTCCAGCCTGTTGCTTTCCTCTCAAGATCTCTAATACAAGCTGAACAAAATTATGGGATATTTGACAAAGTGTTGTTAGCAGTAGTAGCCTCTTTTAAAGAAAGGTGTCAATACTTAGAGGGAAATCCCAACTTCCTCAATGTGATAGTGTACACTGACCACAAGAATTTGCAGTCTCTTATGACAACAAATCAATGGCAAAAATTCTTTGAGTTTTTCATGTGAGCCTGTCGCGTAAATTTGAAGACAGTGCAATATCAGGTGATCAACAACAAACGGAACCAGAACCTATCATCATAAAAGGAGAAGAGGAATCCAAAGCTCAAGGGATTTTAGACAAAAGACTCCAATTTGAACCACAACTCGTGAGAACCAGAAGGACAATCAGGAATGCACAAGGACTGATGAATGAATTTAATCCAAAATATCCAACAGATGAATTCAGATATCACAAGGCACAGAGAAGAGTGTGAGGGTGAAGCTTTTTTACCAGTGGGTTTTTAATGCTGACCCGGGGAAAGATCATAGCCTTTCAAGAAGAGGCTGAGACATAAAGGGGGAGTGATGTTATGATTTTATTCTGATGATTATAAGGCTTTCACATATCAATATGCTTCTACTGCATCTTACTCTAGTTATCTGGTCTTTGATAAGGACCCCAGAGAGCTCTTATTGAGGTGCATGATGTTAGAAATCTCCTACACTACACACACTTTGCCACAGTTTATATTCATAAAAACTTGACCAAATCCCTTGCTCCTCCCTCACCAATGCCTAGCCAAGAGCAAAGCACTTTGTTAACTGTGAAATTTATGCCTACACAATTGTGAAGAGTTTTTAATGTGGTGTAGAGGCTGTGAAATATGCAGCAATTAACAGCAAACATAAGAAAATAAAATCTTCTACATCACACACCTCTACAGGAGCTCTCCGGGGTCCTCCGTGATACCATTATGCATAGTCCTCATGTAACAATCTAATTAGATAACATATCACCTTTGAAGCCCATCTTGCATCTTTAAGCTCATCAGGTCCTTATGGCTTGCTGCCAGGATACCTGTGCAAGGTCCATTTTCTGAAGCTCTAACTTACTTGTTCTTCTTTGAGGCCAACTCAAACTCAAAGAAGAAGAACTTGATTTGATCCTCTTCATCTATCTTTGATTGCTTGCCTTCTTGAATTTCCATTGCTCCTTGTGTTTCTCCTACATGCGTTCTTCTTTCATCTTTTCTTGACGCTTGTTTATCATCTTTTGCTTTGTTTTTTTTTATATTTTTTCCTTTACTTTTGCCCTCATATTTCTTATTTTCACTTGTTCCTTTCCTTTTGACCTTGTGTTTCAGTGATGCTTGTTTCTTACCGGTTGTGTCCTGTTTTACTCTGTTTTACTTTCTCCACGCTCTTTTCTTGCTTTTTGCGTTGTTATCTCGTATCTTGCTTTGCTGTCTTGTCTGCTATTTTCACTCGTTTATTGCCGTTTATCTCTCAGTTTTTTTCCCTCGTGCTTCATTTGTGTATATATCTATTTACTTATGAATATTTGAATAAAAAATCTTGTATAGTAAAAGTTTGCTCCGCTCACCTCTAAAGGTCAAAATCAAGATGCAGTGGAGCGCGAGCGGTTCTGAGTGCCGCTCTGCTACCTTTGTAATGTAGCGGGTACATCTTGTGAGCGGAGCGCAGGGCGAGTTGATTGTAGCGGGTATCAATATCGTCACAAAAAATCGGGAAACAGCGGATCGCAGCGAAGTGGTTCAGATGTTGGTTCATCGCAACTTAAACCAGCTCAGTCGTTCGTCCTCATTTGTCGATATGCATTTCCTACTTCCTTGTTAAGATGCCAAATTGACCACCTTGGACTAAGCGAACAAAATGAAGCTCTGGAGGCAGTTTGAGTGCACACTAGTGGTAACCGAGCATTTACGTTCATTACATCATCAGTATATGTAAGTGAGAAATCTATGTTTGACTTTCTTGAGGAGTGTTGCATTTGAATGTGATATGAATTTGCCACGATTAGCTGGTTTAAACTGGCATAGTTATCAAAGAAGTGTGTCTTCTCGGCCTTGTAGGAGCATGGCGCCAGGTGGACGCAAAGAAGCACAGCTTGAGCTACATCCATAGCTCCAATGAAGAGGTATAGATACTCCTGCCGTTGGTCGATTATCTTGCCCCCATTCATCACACGATCAAATAATCCGATCGTTCTTAATTTATTTCGATTTATTTTTACTCCAGCTAGTCTGTAGTATTTTCAATCACCACTTCTCCTACATACTTATTGTCATCAAAAAGGATCTGGTTATCCATCCCACATTATCAATCGATATTAGACTTTCAACACATTATACATTTTTACCAATTCTATACACTTCAATTTTAAAACATCAAATATGCTTTTCACCACTTCAATCCTCCACCTTGCTGTTTTCGCTGCTTGCACCAATGGTCTATCTATCCAAGCTCGTCCAAGTTCTACGTAAGTTGTATTCTTGATTTAAATTTTGAAGCCGTTCATCAACTTTGCCTTTTTTACCCATAATACAGCCATGACGTAGCCAGACGTCAAAATACCAATAATGGAAACGGTCAAAACACTCCTCCCAGAAATAACCAAGCAAATGGTAACAATCAAAACACAGTCGGAAACAACAACTTGAATATCCAAGGTCAAGGTCAAGGTCAAAGTCAAGAAAATGAGGAAGCTGAAGAACAAAACAAACCACCTTCACTCAAAACAATTGCCAAGGCTTATAAACAAGTCCACCACGAAGAGAAGAACTCGACTGCTGGTCCTAATGAAACCAGTGAACTTGTTAGAATCCTTGGTCAAGCTGTTGGTAGTAGTTCTGAAAGTGGTGATCCTGCTGCTGTGGCCAGAGCTATTGAGACAGCGTACGAAACTTACAAGAGTCGCAATGGTGGAAATACCAACGCTAATAACGACGGCCAAACCCCTGTCGGCACCACTCAGAGGAGCGTAAACGTTGGTGCCAATGGTGGAAGCAGCTCAGGAGCCGATGGAAACTTTAATTCATCTTCTCAAAACCGCCAAAGCTCCCAAGCCAATCAGAACAGCGCGAATGGCAATAATAACTTCAATTCTTCAGTCAATTCTCAATCAAACGGTCAAACCTTTCAATCAAATCAGAATAACAACATCAACAGAAATGGTGATAACAACTTCGGATCAAACTCCCAGTCCAACTTCAACTCCAATGACAACAACAACAACAACTTCAATGGAAATTAAAGAGGGTTATAAAGGGCTTTTTGTCATTCTGAAATAAACATTTTGTAGTCGTGCACCATTTTTGTACTTTTTTTGATGTCATCGAGAACATACCAAACAATAATATCTGAGTTTAGATTCTGATTGATAAACCATTGCTGTGCTCTCTTCTCTATCTTTGAAAGTTGTTGAAACAACATTTTTGAATGCACTACTCTTACCACTTCTTACTATAAAGTACTCGGCACATTGCAATCCTTCAGATCACTGGGACGCGAATATTTGCCATCACGTCCAGTGAGCTCACAGTCCCTCGGTAGTCGCATTCTTAACTCGACCGCCCCTGGCGTTGAAATTTATCTACCCAATGGACCTATCCCGTCTTCCGGATGAAAAATCCATCCCTCAAGCGCTTCAGCAGCGGTACAATTTGGAAAGTCTTGATCAATTTACACAATACCACCTTATTGGAAATTCAAAAGTGATACCAAAAAGTGATATTCTGACACTCTCACTCTGAAAGTCTTGCTATGAATTTTTCAAGCAATGAAGCATGTAAGGCAATTGAGCAGTTTTCTTTACAAGTTGGATTAGCAAGGGCCGTAAAAGCTTGTAGGTATACGTTCTACAATGATCGAAACAGATGACCGGGTGCCATTATTTACGTGGAGCAATTGTCACAGTCTATCAGATTTATGAAGGTGAGATTATCAGCGCATGGTCATAGCGTCCCGGTGATCACAAAAACAGTTGACTTACGCATGACTGGCTTGTCATTGAGCTTACGCAGGCACTTGTAGTCTTGATTGTTGTGAATGGTACATACTGAGCGTTGTCAAACAGAGAGGTGAGGTGTTTCATGAGGTTATTTTAGAAAAATAAACGGATTTGGGTAAGGAGGCCGTCTACTGACAAAAAGTGTTAGGATCGTTGTATGTGTAATGTTCACATTGTTGTTTGGAAAAGCCATCGCCAGTCGCCGGGTAAGGTACACAGTTGCTCATCGGGAGCCAAATATGGTCTGCGAAAATCACATGCACATCAGAATAAAAAGTAAAGACGTATACGTGTTGGAGAATAAATCGTTTTGGTGTCACTCACCTAGATATCGGCAGAAATCACCTGGACAATTGTGCTGATGGCCGTCGCCATCAGTACAAGCTGAAAGCAAGAAGCCGATCAGAACAGGTCTAAAAGGTTTAGCTGAAAAGGAAAAGGAAAGAACAAGATTCACCGGCCGTGTGCCCCGTAGTGTATGCCTGGACACAGTCGTAGTTTCCGGGCCCGAGCTTAGCTGAGCACAGTTTCATGAAAACAGACAGCGTGATGCACATCACAAGGAGGTTAAGAAAGATTTTCGAAGACATCTTGGTGTTGGCGGCGATTGAGGATATGGGCAGGGCGGAAACTATCTGATCTTGGAAGCAGTCTATTTATTGCAGTGTATGTGCTCATGCTCCTATGTGTATATACATATACCACACGGCCAATCGAGCAGAAAAATATGTGTATCTATGGCGGAAAAATTCCAGACTCTTTGGATGAAAGCCAGCGCCGCGCGCTGAGGGATTCGGAAGGGATTGAATGAACGCCTCTCGTTCGGGGATGTATCGTCGTTGATTGTTCCTTGTACGCCCAGAGGGTCTTGGACCTCAGCCTCCGCTGCACATAGGTGCCATCGCGCATCGTTATACAGGACCCCGTAACTAGAATCTACCGCTTTGTTCGGTATGAATTATCAGGGGTCGAAATTTGAGCAGGCTTTTGTGAACCAGCCAAAAAAATTAATTTCTTTAATTGCGGGAATCGATTGGATATAGGTGATGGGTTCGGAAAGGATTGGTCGCAAGAAGCAGAGAGCTCCTTGTTGGCTCGCGGTTTCATGACTGATGGAATTCTATGCGCCTCGATTGGATGGGATGTTTAATGCTGTGATCGCTGAACAAAAGGGAATGCAAGATTCTGAAAGAACGCTCTGATCATCCTCACGTCATGTTTCCAGCTTGAATTCCAGGCCTGCTTTGTTACATATGACGTGTACATAGTCATACCGATCTCAGACTCAGAGTTATCAAAAAACCAACGCAAAGGAGTTCATCTCATGCCGAAGGCGGCAGGCCTCTACCAAATCATTCCGACTGAAAACTTTATGTTCACTCTACGTATACCACTTCTGAAGAACCTTTACTTGCTTGATTCAGAATCGACAGCGATCAATCAATTCAAAATCCATAATGATCAATCGACCCAAAAAAGAACGGACATCCAAACCTCGTCATTCAGAGTCCTTACAAGCCAAGTATCGAAGATCTATTGGCCATCAACGCTGGCTGATGTTGGTTTACTCGTCGGGCTGTGAGGAACACTTGAACGATGAATTTGCTTTGATCATGGATCCTCAAAGAGGTCCTATGCAATTTCTTATGGCGGTTAGATTGGGTTTTATAAGCCCCTCCTCAGAGCCATCATCGATGGCTGGTATCGATATATACTACCACTTGATTAGGTTCATTATCGCCAAGATCAGATGACGGGTGAAGCGAAACTGGTTACTGGAGTATGGAAAATTTCGGATACAATCATTGAGATACTGTTTGATACGCGCCGCATAGCCCATCTGATCACGATTGGTTTTCGATGTGACGAAACCTGCCGTCCAAATCTGCTATCTTAATACGCAGATAAGTCCCATATCAGTTGGAGTGCCTGCGACGTTTGCAACACTGTCTCACGAGTCACAATCGACCACGCCTATGTATCACTGACGAAGAGGTAAATTATTTCGAGAAAAATTTTCTGCGTGTTGAACTGAAACGAGACGTGAAAAGCGGTAGTGCCGAAAAATGATCGTACGGATATCATATGCCGCAGGCGAAGCCCGATGAGTTGTTGAAAGCTGGTAACCTTAATCCTCACCAGAAATTTAATCACCGCTCCTTCACCCTTGCCACCCTTGTCTTAGGGATAGCTGAAGGGAGTAACAGTCACAGAAGAGCACTAGGCCGACCTGAGAGAGACTTCATCGACAGCAGACCAGGTGTTTACAACGACCCTCTTCAACCATCATTCCTTATCTGATTCCAACTTGACAGGAAAGGATCGTCAACACTCATTACATGAAGGCAACATCGACAATAGGAGAAAGTGGCAACTCTCCAGATTCCCACACTTTTGATCTCGATTCCAAAATGCTTCCAGATGTTTTGGATGACGTCGAGATGACCTCCCCATCGGCTAACAACACGAAGGTGCAGCGAAATCTCAAAGAACGTCATATGGCTATGATAGCCATCGGGGGGACTATCGGAACCGGATTATTCTTGGGTATTGGGAACGCGCTAGAAAAGGGCGGTCCGCTTGGTCTTCTGCTTGGATATATGGTCATGTTAGTATTTCTATTGCTTCTCATTGACTATTGCGCAGTACTTTGATTTTTTTGTGATCTATGCGAACTCGCTTAGGGGAACAGTGATGTATGGTATGCTAGTGGCGCTAGTAAGTCCAACTCACCATTGACCACGTCCGTCAGAGATGGTTGAATTATGGAGGTTTGACGTTCCCCAACTATGTAGGGGGAAATGGCTACAAAGTTTCCGATCAGTGGATCACTCTCTCACTTCCCGAGTCGATTTTTTGATAGAGCTTTGGGGTTTAGCGGTCAGTATATTCTCAACCTCTCGGATCCTGCGAAGTAAATTAAGCTGATTGTCTTCTACATCTCAGTTGGATGGAATTATTGGTGAGTCATAGTCTTTAAAATAAAGCAGGGGTTTAGATAAAGTGACTCTTGAGCCCTTCAGGTACTCCTTTGTGCTTTGTTTACCTACAGAGATCACAGCGGCCGCCATAGTAGTTAGCTACTGGAAAAATCCTCTCAGTGAAGTGGCGTGGATCACCATCGTCAGTAAAGGTTTTTTTAAAATCTTTCTTCGAAACGGTAAAGGTCTCGTATATGGAGTTTACACCCACTGAGTCAATTTTGCTCATCACAAATTTTCTCTCTGCTCAACCGGCTCTAGTTTCTTTTCACAAGTGGGGCTATCAACTTTTTTGGTGTTCGATGGTACGGCGAGGTGCGTCGAAACTCACGATCGACTAAAACCACGTGTCTGAGCGCATGTGATGAACGCTTATGTGACCATAAAATTCGGGCTCTGCTCGAAAGACCGAATGCTTTTTCTGTAAGTTCAAACTCTTGATGTCCAGGTCAAGGAACGCAAAGTTTATAGCTTTCCCCTTCGATGTAGCTGCGGTGAAGGTATTAGCTATCATAACTTTGATCATCATGGGACTCGTATTGGATCTTGGTAAAGCACCACATATCACATTCTACAAAATTGAAGTCATAGAGTGATTTCCTAACCAACAGCATCTTTTCTCCTGACTCAGGCGGAGGACCAGGACACGAGGTGATAGGGTTCAAGTAAGTCTAAAATCTTCGAAATGTAACAATCACATAAGCTGAATTTCGGTCTACAAAACCCGGGTAGACATTGGAGGCATACTGGAGTATTTAAACAGCTGAAAGGTATACCCGGAGTCTGGGGTAGATTTCTATCTTTCTGGTGGGTCAATCTCGAGAGAGAGAGTGAGATTTCGAATGCGACGTGCTATGGATTCAGTTCTCAACATCGCTCGCATTTAGGTCTGTGTTTATACAGGCTAGCTATTCGTTCTTGGGGACTGAAATGGTAGCAATAGCTGCAGGCGAGGCGGCCAATCCAAGAAAGTCGGTTCCTAAGGCAATATCAAGCGTGTTTTATAGGTAAGCGTCAGTTTGAAAAGTTTATCCAGAAACACATGACGAGAATGATTTTGAACTTGATTATCCTCCAGGATCTTGTTATTTTACATTTTGGGAGCATTGGTTGTGGGTATGCTTGTCGCTTCAGACGACCCGCGTCTTCTGGGCGGAACAGGCGACGCGACATCATCACCCTTTGTGATAGCTATCAACAATGCTGGCATTAAAATCTTACCTGACTTGGTGCGTTCGCACAATATTGAGTAGCAGATTTTCTCAAGTTGACTGAACTCTTTTTTTCAAACCATACAGGTAAATTCTTTCATCTTGGTGGCCTCTTACTCAGCAGCAAGCAGCCAAATTTACGGCGCAAGCCGGGTCTTGTACGGGCTGGCCAGTGATGGAATGGCCCCTGCGATCTTTAAAAAGTGCACCAAAGGTGGTTTACCACTTCCTGCTACCTTTATCAGTGCCCTTCCGGGACTGTTAGCATACATGAGCTTGAATGAAAAAGCTAGCACTCTATTCAATTGGCTCGTGACTCCATCAGCAACTGCGGGTCTGATGACTTGGTGGACTATTTGTCTTGTGCGTATACATCACTTGAATGTTTCAATGATCTTTCATGTCACCGTCGATTATGGGAGTGGGTAGTAAGGGGCATCAACTTATGAAAAAATTCTGAAAAACCAACAGTCCTACCTTCGATTTTACAAAGGCTTAAAAGTTCAAGGATATGATCGGGATAGCCTGCCGTATAAAGCACCTTTTCAACCTTACCTCACATATTATACGTTGACAGTACTTACATTAGTGATCATGTTGAATGGATTCGAAGTCTTCATACCCGGAAATTGGTGAGCTCTTCCATTCGCAGCGTCTTTTAAAAATAAAATATATCCCTTACTATATTACCCATATCCTGTCTATATTTCGCCTCATTCTCAGGTCAACTGGTGAATTTGTTGTAGCATATATCACTCTACCAATGTTTTTGATAGGTTACATTGTATGGTAAGCTCTTCGTCTTCCAACTTGGTATCGAATTCCAATGGTTTGAAGGTCATCAATGACATCTCTAACAAGCCTTTTCTCATGAACTTGCACAGGAAACTCATCAAAAAGACGGAGCTTGTAAGAGCTGAGTGTATGGATCTTGTCTCTGGTCAGAAGGATTTTTTGGACGCAGACGAAGTAGAAGTACTTGAAAAGCCTGAGGTTACAAAGCCCTGGGGTAAACTAATGGACGTGGTAAGCCTTTGTAGTTGCTTGAAAACGATCCGAGATTTTGAGAAACATGGCTGAACTGTTCTTCTTGATCATGGTAGTTGGTTTGATCGGAAGTAGTCTGTGGTTACTTTGTGATATTACTTTAGTGTTCTGAGCATTTTCCTTCAAAGTTTAGCTTATTTTGATTTTGATTTCTTGCAACCAATTCCTACTAAATGAAAAAACTCATCTTCTTATATCTTGTTGAGCTGTGATGCGCGTGTCTCTGAAGTGAGATAGAATATGTAACATTTGGAATGAATGATGGTAGACCATGTACAGAATGTTTAAAAGAGCGCACGTTATGTACGGGTTATATCTCTAGACTTGATCTCTGAACATGTCACTTCCCAAGCATTTGTGACTATGGATAGATAGGATTTCATTGCGAGAGGAATTCCTTCCTCTGGTGAAAAGCTGTCGCCTCATACCATTACCACTCAACACATAGGATTGTTAGACAGTGTCTTTTTCGGATTTTCCAATCCATTCACACTTATAACCCAATGTTTCTCTTGGGCTGCGACGGCCACTTACGTTGTAACACTCTGGCCTACCTGAACTCTTCCGGTGATATTTACACGAATCTCGAAGCAGCAAAGACGAGGTGGCGCAAACGGAGGAAGTGAACGGGGTTTGTTCTTTTTCTCTACCTTCCAATGCTAACTCTAATCTCGAGGAGGCAAAGGTCCTTGCACCAAATCTTGATGATCATTGCAACCTAACCCAAAAGTAGTAGATCATAAACAACAAGAGCGCGCTACATACTTTTCGCTACATACTTTTTTTGGCGGGGACAAAGAAAAAAAATATACTTTTGGCCTCGCCTTCCCCGCCAAAAAAAGTATATAGCAAAAAGTATGTACACGTACATACTTACTTTGAGTACCCTTTATGTATTCCCGATTAAATTCTGACAAACGCTTTAGAAAGTATGTATGGTGAACTATTGTGAAGCTTTGAATGTACATAAGATCGAAAAGCATCTTTCTATCAAATCTCATCTGATCTGGTCAAGTAATTTCCTATGGAAATCTGATTTGAAGTTCCATGATGGATATTCAAGATATACACCCTGTTTCATGCGCGCAATTCCACATCATCGATTTTCCAATCAGCCATCATACGGTAACTTGCAAGTGTTCATTCACTGGGAGGAATCGCCACCGGAAACGCTTCCAAGGCACCGCAGTCTTGATTGAGATGGATTGAGACCTATTGGGAGTCTTGAGTGACATTTAATTTTTACTTGATCTCAAAATGTCACTACATACCACATCCTTCAGATAACTTTGGGGTAGGTTGATCCCACTTCTCATCTGTCACTTTAGTCTGATCTGATTAATTTATGCTGAAGTGATCAGTTTGGTATTAGTTGACAAGGTCACCAGGTGGATGAATAGCAAGTTAGTATATATATCTTGATTCCTACTTTTTGATATTGATCTCAACTTGATAGTCCTTGGCCAACTCAATTGAGTGCTATTGCATCTTGTTATCGTCAGTCTGCATATTGCCCACACCACGATTTGTATTTGAGGGATGAAGGAATAAGTTCTAATGAATCTCATCAATTCTCTCGGCAAAGGATCAAGCTAGTATTGATTGGATTGATTGATGTTGTATGTCCTTGGGTGGCGAGTTTACTGTGTTTTGTAATTGTGATTTTCATCCTAGGATCTGATTAAAGTAGGGTGTGGTGAATGGTGAATGGTGAATTGAAGTCAAGCCGGCATAGTATGTATGAAGTTGCCAGAGGAGTTACCATCTAATGAGGATTGAGATGTATGTACTTGGGTGTAATCTTCAGACTCATCCATGGTCGATCAAACCACTTTCTCTCCTTTCCTACTTTTCTCTCTCTTAACTATGTACACTACAATCCTATCTAGTATGTCTTTGTTTAAAACCACCCACTTGGTTTGACTCTTACTTTGACTCTGACTCTGAATCTGACTATTCGTCAATCGATCCATACAATCTGATTTTTGAATTTCCATCATTCATTATTTATTTATTATCGTTTTCAAGTCTAGACCTCCTCTTCGGTCTGTGTTGTAAGTTGTGGTGCCTTAAAAGCGATCGATCAAGTCACATTATCTCGTCTTCTTCCTCTTGGTATCTTCCTTAGAACCGTGCTCACACTTCACAGTTTGGATGAGTCTCAGAAAAACTTGTTAATACTTCTTCTCTCCTTCTTTCTTTCTCTTAGTTTTTTGTCTCACTTTCATCTCGGAACATTCAGCCGGTCATCTTCACATCACAAACTTAAATTGTTATTCGGCTTGACTTTGACTCTAACTTGAATTACCTCCTTTAGCGTTGACAATTTACAGTCTCGCTTGATCATCAAATTCCTTCATTCAATTTACAAGTAGTCATCGCTGTATTTTGTTTATTTTCTAACTCATTTGCCTTTTTGAGGTGGAACTACAGAACATCAACCAAGGAGAATACATATCCTGATTTCAAAATAAGGAGACATGTTGATCACATTTTCAACCACTCTGGATCGCTTACCAGGTGAAAGGATCTTAACACCTGATTGGTCTTGGCGCGTTAGTGTTTTCCCAAGTTTCATCCATCCATTCATCCATTCATCCATCCTGAAACTCAAATCGAAAATATCAATTCGCCCCCATTTGCTTTTCTTTTCTTTAACGTTTACCATCATCAACCAATCAATCGACATCCACCGATATAATCATAATAAACCACAACTCTTAGCTAGTAGTTGTGTCCTATGCGATTAGTTGGATAGGAGCATACACTTCATCTGCGATCATTGCACATGCCAACACCTTGCTACTCAGAAGTGGTACACAGTGGTGTCTGTGGATGGCATTAGCTTCAATTACCTACGGTGAGATGCTATACACCCTCTTCTCAGAGAATCCACTAGCTGATGGCTTCATCATTTACAGGCTCAATCAGCATTTGGTCCCTACACTTCCTTGCCATGTTATCTCAAACTTTTGAGGGCATTGACGTGTCCTTTCATCCTGTCTACACTACTCTCTCTGCTCTCGTAGCTACCTTTTTCACCTTTGCCGCACTCATCAGTTCTGCGCGCTCACCTTTTCGCCATCCCTTCATCTCAAATCGACCATTATCACCTTCACCTACTGCCTTACCGCCTCCGCTTGATCGGTCTTCTCCTTTTGCTTTCTTCAATCGTCTTCGCCGTCGCACGAGCTTCCCTGGTAGATCTGAGGAAGTGGAGCTTGATAGCGAGTTTTTGTTGGAATCAGGACAAGGCATTTGCTCATCGCTTTCAAGCAGGTCTTCATCTCCCTTACTTCCAGCCAAAGACCTACGATGCTCACCGCGCACCTTATCTCCCAGCTCAAACAAGTACACTGAGAGAAGTTATGTGCCCATAAACACCTCATCGGACTCTCCTTCTGATCTTCGAAGTTATAATCTAGGTTGGGGGACTGGTGTTGATCACGATGTTCTGGAGGAAGAAGATGAAGATGAGACAGGAGAGAAGCTTGAGGCTCGATCTTACCACGAACATCGTCACCTCTCGTCTGCTCGGCATAATCCCCATATTCTCTTTAGGTTAGGAAGGGAAGTGAGGGAAGGAGCGAGTGTGGTACATGGGCTAAAGGCTTTAATTTGGGGGAGCGCAATTGCGCTGATGCATCATATAGGTATGAAGGCTATGAATATTCCAGAAGGTCGAGTGATTTGGAATCCGGTCTACATTGCACTGTCTTGTTCACTGGTATTAGTAGTAAGCTGGTTAGGTTGCATTACCATTGATCAAATGGACTTTCACCTTTCCCGTCAACTACTCTTTGCAACCTTAACATCACTTGGTGCCTTTGGTTTTCATTATGTTTCTGCCTTGGGAGCTACTTATCTCACAGCTGCTCCTCCTGATCTCAAGACTCCTATCAGTGGATTTAGGGATGAGATCCCATTCTTTATCACGGGCTTAGCGGTTTGTACTTGTTTACTCTCCATCGGACTCTTGGCTCACACAGCTTCTTTATCAAGAAACCGATTGGCAGAATTGATTTTCACAAAACGACGACTTTGGAAAGTCAAAGCTCAAAAATTGGCGGCCGAAGGTGCCGCAGACTTGAAACAAAACTTTATTTCGGTCGCGTTTGTTTTTTTTCTTCATTTCTATGGGGTTGGAAATCTTGTACTGAACGTTGAAGGATTTTTTTTTCGTATTTCATAGATCTCATGAGCTTAGGACTCCACTTTTTTCTGTCACTGGTTACGCCGATTTATTAGGAAGGACAGATCTGAATGACGAGCAGGTCGGTTTTCTGCTTATCTGATCAACTGCCAATTTACATGAAGTGCTCATCACGAGCATATATCTCATCCCTTTTCAGAAATTGTATTTGGCCAACATGCAACAAGCATGCGCGAATATGCAATTGATCATCGCCAACGTCTTAGATTTCTCGTTGGTTTTGAAGTTTTATTTTTAAATGAATCTCTTCATATACGAAATTAATCATATTTCTTGATTTATACAGTAAACTTGAACGAAATAATGAAGAATCAAATGCTAAACCCGTTTGTATGAACTTACGAGCGATGGTAGAAGGAATCGGCAGAATGACTGAAGATAAAGGTAGATCAGTACGAGCTAGATCAGTTGATCTAATCGTTCATGTCTCTGCTATCGTCCCTGAGACGGCCTTGGTAGATGAGACATTCGTATTACGGATCTGTATGAACCTCTTGAGTAATGCTCTCAAATTCACCGAGAAAGGATTCATCTTGATCAGCTTAGATATGAATGAACCGGAGGAATTGGTCATCAAGGTTCAAGATACTGGGATTGGTAAGTGAAGCTTTTGATTGTCCAGTCTGAAGGCCTAATGTATAGATTATTGTGCTTATCAGATCTCTTTGGGATCTAGGAATTCCTCGAAGCTTTAGGAAAGACTTGTTTGAACCTTATCGTCAGGCAGATAGTAGTACGACAAGACCTCATCAAGGTACAGGACTAGGTGAGCTAATTTAGAATATTTGTTTCAAACTTGATCGCAGTGGAAAATCAAAAACTAATCTGAGAAATATGCCTAAACTGGTGTCATCTATTTGGTGATCATTAGGTCTCAGTATTTGCAAACAGCTCGTTCAGGTAAGTGCATACCATTTGATCGGGCTTCATGTGATTCGAAGATTGATCTCATACTGATATAACCTGTTACTTGATTCCAAAGCGTCTGGACGGTAAGATTGAGGTGGATTCGATCGAGGGTGAGGGTACGACCTTTGTTGTTACTCTTCCGCTCGGACGACCTTCAAGTCCACCTCTTCGATCACCTACTGAGTTAGGCAAGCGAATCTGCGTAGCTTATCAAGAACCTCGAACGGAATCTGCACTTTCTAATCTACTGCGTCGTGATGGACATCTTCCTGTCGAGTATCACTCCACACCCAAAGGATCATTGAACGACTCTGAAATCGACATGGTCTGGACTGACTTGGGAAGTGTACGGGACTCGACTGAACTCCAAACATTGACCAAAGTTGAAAGTGAAGATTCAAAGGTAGTGGTCGTCACTTCTTCTTCTTGCGCTCTTGGTAAATCTAGAAATGAAATTGGAGAAGGACTTTCTGGAAAAGTGATTGAATTAAGTCGACATGGGATCATTCCTCATTTAATCTTTAATCTATTATCACAACCTGAGAAATACGCACATGAGATTAGTAGTAGACCAGATAGTTGGCCATTAATTGATCGTCGTGAATCGGTTGGTACTATTGTCACGGTTAATAGTAATGAAGATTTAGAAGAGATGGCAGAGTCTGAAATTGAAGAAAAATCTCAAAAACAAGATTTAGAGAATGAAGAAGAAATTGAGACCAAAAAGAAAATCTTGTTGGTAGATGATAATGGAATGAATGTCGAATTAGGAAGAAGGGTATTGGAGAAGATTGGATATGAGGTGCAAGTGGCTTACAATGGACTTGAAGCTGTTCAAAAGGCTTGTCATAGTGATTGTGACTTGGTATTGATGGATTGTAAGTTTCCATTTCATTATCTCAGAAACCAAGAGATGGAGAGCTGAAATAGATCATGCCTGATGATGATCATATATGTAGGTCAGATGCCAGGTGTAGATGGACCAGAAGCGACGAGAATGATCAGAGACTACGAAACCAAAGCAAAAGAAGGTGTAAATCGATTACCGATCATCGCCTTGACAGCTAATGTATCTGAATCTGATCAAACAACTTGTATGGAGAGTGGAATGGATGGGTTTTTACCTAAACCTTTGCAAGTCACTGGTCAGCTTTCTTTGCGGATTTTTTTTTCCTTTTTTTCGGATTGATTTTTTAAAGATCTCTTCAATTGACATTGAGATTCTCTTGATCAGTTTTGAAAGCTACTTTGCATAGGTTTTTAGGATGATTAACTCTAAAAACATACGTTCTTGATCGGATCTCAAAGGGATTCGCATTTTATAAAATCTCAAAAGGGGTTTCCAAATATGAAGATCTCTTGAATGAAAAAAATCGATCTTTCGGATCTTTTTAAATCTTCCACTGAAAAATACAAATAAAGGTAATCTAATGACCTACCAAAAAAAAGAATCTCTCTTAATAATGGTTTTCCATCCCTTATCATTTGACTTTCGATTTTTTTTTAATTTCCTTGCACAAAAAATGTTTGTAAGATCTTCATGATATGTTTTATGATTTTTTTCTTACATATATAATTTTGATTTCATTTCATCCTGTTTCTTTTTTTTGTATAAAAAGTCGATTTCTACCTTTCCTTCCTTCTTCTTCTTCACTTTCCTAATATATAAAAAGAAAATCTAGAAAAAATACTTTAAAGTTGGTTAATGCAGATGTTGAAAAGAATATGGACATAGTTTTTTTTTTGATTGATTGATTTTACTTTGGTTTGGGGTATCTTCTCATTAAAAAACACTCCAATAGGAGTTTGAATTGTAATTTTATAGTAATCTGATCTATGCTATTGTTTTTTTTTGGTTCATTTACACAATTATTATATATTTAATTTACACACAATTTTGGAAGTTGTTCTTTTTGAAAAGTTTCAAAAAAAGACAATTTATCTGAGTCTTTGATTGTGATGACTTCAAATTAATAAAGAATTTGTAGGATCATAGAAAGAACCGAAAGAATTATAATGATTCTTTGCTTCAAGTTGATTCCACTTTATACTTTGAAGCCGCTAAGATTCTTCCCAGACTATGAAATGATATAAGCTGTGCGGGAAGCTTATTGAATGAGAATGTTATCATATCGTATGTACACAAAAGACGAGCTTTCCATCCATCACGTTGGCTCAGTCCATATAGACAGACACAAGTTCTATGAATACAATCACGGTAAAGAAGATTATGAAGTCTTGAAGGGGTGTTTTACCGTGGTCCAATAAAAAAGATACATGAAATACAAACACCGGAAGGGATTCATCTGAGCAAAGTGTACAAACAAAGCAACTCTGAAGAATAATTAAAGATAACAAGATAAAAGGAGTAAAGTAAAGGTAGCCTATCTAGTGGTTACAATCGATTTTTGAATCCATTTTTCCCATTTAATCAAATCTGATTCATTCCAATCTAACTCCACTAAATTAGATTTCCAATTCCAATCATCAAATGAGATTTGATCAGATTGACTTGTACGATGATCAGGATTAAAGATCAGTCTAGATTCAAAGATACACATCGGTTTGATTGGAGCTTGTCTTGTTGGTAAATTCAATGGAGTCTTTTCGATGGTTCGATGTCGATTGGGTTTAAGTGGTGAAGAAGGTTGGGATCGTTTTGGATGAGGTTGTGAGGTTGGAAATAGACCTGGTTGAAGACGTTTAGAAGTCGTGGGTGAAAAGATCGAATCGGTTTCGGAGGTGATGGTGGAATCTAGATGAGTACGTTTGGTAGGTGATTTCATGAGTCCTTCTAAAGCTTCAGTCCGTCCACCATCCGTCATTTCTCGCTTTCGTTTTCCCATACTTCCACTGGGTGAAGTAGTACTTGTTAAGTTCGGATCCGATGTTAAAGTTTGTTTGGTGGGCGAAGAAGGTGAAAGCCTTAAGATTTCTTTGAGTTGTTGAATGGCCTGTGAGAAGATCCTGGAAGTCACACCTGAGAGTCGGTAAAGTTGTTTCTCAAGTTCACCAGACGAATCATTCTGTTTGTTAGACCTAAAAAGACGCGTCATTGATGATCAGATCATCTGCAGCAAGAGTAAACCAAAAAGTAGACTTTTTGAAATGTTTTTTTGAGACTGACTTGGCAAAGTAGAGTGATAAACAAGCCGTCGCACGTCTGTTTCCATTCAAACCTACAATCCGATGATCGCCAGCTTGTAAGATCGAATTGATTTGTTTGAAAAGTTTTTTTGATTTCTTAACAATTTCTTCAGCTTCATCATCTAATAAAGTACCCCAATCTAAATGATCATGTGATTCATTTGATGATTCTTCTATTGGTTCACGTCTTTTACGAGTTCTTTCATTGGTGATGGTCATAGTAGGTATTAATATGTTTGAAAGTTGTTTAGCAGCATTTGAAAAGATCTTAGGTGCTACTCCTGATCTACGTTGAAGAGCTGTTTCGATTTCTTTTTTCTCTGTAGGTGATAATCTAGACCTACGTTTATAGTATACCAAGTGAATCAGTAAAAAAAGACTCCAATCGATTAACACAATGTCTTAAAAAGATATCAACTTACTTGACTAGCAAGAGAGATAAGCAAGCTAATGCACGATCATTACCACTGATTCCAGTGATCTGATGACCCGATCCTACTGATAATTTACTTTGAGCTTTTTGAAAGAGACTTTTTGCTTGACGAGAGATGTCGATGGGTTCTAGATCTAATAAGTTATCCCATGTCATTCGGTCTCTTGCAGTTAACCTTTCTGTCATTTTTTTTCGAACTGAGAATGAGATTGATTCTGGAGTTGAAGTTGAGAAAGAAGTTGGCCAAGTTGAAGACAGTGAGACCACGAGAATCGTTGAGAGCCAGATACCCGATCGAAGAAAGTCGCGCTCAACGGGTTCACAACTTCCTTCAGGCGCGGGTCACTTTCACTCGGGGTTTGTTACGGTCCGAGTGAGTCTGATGTTGAGTGTGGTTTTTGATTTGCTTGTTAACTCTCAACGCACTATAAAGACCATCATGGATTGTAGCACAAGTTCTAAAGTTAACAATCAAATCGAATCAACTCATACTCATCCATCTCAAACATTACTTCAAATCACTTCGGATGTAGATTTAGCCATCAAAGATATAATCTCTCAACTCAAATTACCTAGAAAATCTCAAAATGCACAACTTCCTTCTCCTGAAAAAACTCAAAATGAAGAATCTACAAACATTCAAAGTATATCTACTAGTAATGAAAAATCCAAAAAATCTGACAAGAAACGAAAACGTGGTCATCATTTAGGTGTGATACATAAACTTGGTCAATTATCTCAAAATGCCGATCTAGTCAAAAAAAGACCTCCAAAAATCATGATGAGTGGTCATCGAATGGGAGGAATGCCATCTAGTCGAGTTGAACCGAATTACGTAGTACCTGATCTTGTCTTAGCTATCACTCGACGAATCTCATTTAGTGTTTATTTAAAAAACGCTATTCAACACTTTCAATCTAGAAAGAATGGTCAGATTAAACTTTTGGCTATGGGATCGGCTATTTCGATGGCTTTGTCTCTTGCAATGGCTATTGAACATAATTTGAAATTGAGTGATGGATGTTCTTTGGTTAAAAAAGTAAAGACGGGTACCGTGGTTGTAGGGGATGAGATTCAACCTGAAACAGAAGTTAGTCAATTCCAATTCAATCACATCATTCTCTTTGGTTGATGTCAGTTTTGAAATTTTTGAATTTAAACAAATTGATGATCTTTTTGTACTGATGGTTTTTGAAAATCTGGCTCGATTATAGAATCAAGATGATCAAGATTTGATTTATCAAACTCGAATGCAAGCATCAATTGAAATCGATTTAATCATCTCACTTAAAACTTCTCAACCAAGTCTTGCATCTCAATTGTTCCCTAATAGTAGTACGAACAAAAATCAGTCAAATGAAAAGAAGTCATCCAAAAAGTCAAAAAAATCAAAAACTGAAAAATGAAGATCTTAACAAACGCATCATGAAGAATCACTTTATATAATGAAGATGTGCTTCGTTATTCTTATCATCATTACTGTGATACTTTGTTTTTTTCTAGCAAAGTGTCATCTTTTCTTTTTTACTGCAATTTCCATTTATGTATCTTATTTGTTTTCATATCTTTTCAATACCTTCGATTGATCACGTGATCTGCAAAAACTCTATAAACTTTCTAATGACTATTTTGGATTGACAATTGCAAACATGTACTCGGTTCATGGTCTAGAGAGTTCTTTTGTGTAATTTATCAATACCCTTTATATCGCAACTTACCAATGTGACCATAAAATGACTTTCCTTTATCACTCACTACGTATATTATAAGCTGTTATCACAACCTTGGCCAATGAAATGATTTGTTTAGTTTAGGAATAATTTCAGGAATGGTCAAAATATATGCACAAGATCAATCAATCTTGATCATTTGTCTGATCTTGGTAAATAATTGAAGATAGTCAATTGTGATGGTGGCCTGTTTAAACATTCTTTGATCTTTAAGTGAGCGTGAGCCTCATGTGAGATTATTCGTAAGGACATCCATTGACCTACTTCATATATCGTCGGCTGTGTAGATGACGTTGAGCCTCACAGAAAGTGTGTGAGGTACACCGTACGACGATGAAGAACTATTTTTGTCTTTGATGGGACTGCGCACGATCAAAGTGAAAAATTAATCATCTTTCGAATTTCAACATGCAAACATGAAAAATCCTCAAAAAGAAGTATCATTTCTCGACAAAACACTAAAAATAGCAATACTTATAACAAAAATTGAAATCCAGGAAACTGAGCCTGGTCCAGTGGTCTTTGTTAAATTTCACATCATGAGTAATTGTGTTTGAAATGATGAGAGAACGTCGGGAGATGACCTGTGCAGTTGTTCAAATTTACAAAACTGACATAAGTAATTCTACGACAGCGGGGGGACGACATCCAGGCTCAGCGCATCGGTGTTCAAACTTCAGCGAGCCCGGTGTGACAGACATCCTCCCACGCATGATATTAAATCTATAAATTGCTACATGGATATCTCACCGTAACAGCTTTGTCTGGACACCCCAAAGCACTACAAACCAAATTTCCTTATGACCAAATGAAGTCTTTAAAAGCTGGTTTTTCTCAACTTCATTCTCCCTTTTGCCCTCCGCTTTCATTATCCTTCATTTGCGTCCAGACATCTTAACAGTTTACTCAACGTACAAAACTCACCTTGATCATGATTGTTAATGTGCAGATGACTACCAAGTTGGCGATTTTCCTCTTCTTTGCTGCCAGCTGTCGGTCTATCTGGGGGGCAGCCTCCGTACCACGTTTAAATGGAGTCAATGTTGCAGGACTAGAGTTTGGCATTGACATCAATGGAACGTCAATCGGAAACTACAATTCACCAGAATTTGATCAAATTCAACATTTCGTCAGTGTTGGGATGAACGTCATCCGTATTCCCTTCGGTTGGCAATACATTCAGGTGAATATGATCTGAAGCAAGGCTTTCATGTCTGATGAAACGTTAACAAGTGGGTTTGCTGAATTTTTATTCGATTTTTCCAGCCACAAATCAATGGAGATCTAGACGCAAATTATCTTGGACTCTTGGTTAAGTATGTGGAATACACTCTCGGCTTAGGAGCACATGTTATCATTGATCTCCACAACGTGCGTGACCTGTCCTTGATCTTTTTCTCACATGTTTTGTCAAATATCTGAGGGACAACTTATCAGACTTTGAATATTTCTACGTCATTCAATTGCAGTACGCTAGACGTGATGGAAAGATTGTTGGTCAGAGTGACCTAAGTGCAGAATCCTTAGCAGATATGTGGAGCAAAGTAGCAAGTCATTTCAAAGAGCAGACCAATGTGTTCTTTGGCTTGATGAACGAGCCTCACGATGTGGACAGCAAAACGTGGATCGGAGTAGTTCAACTGGTTGTAACTGCAATCCGACAGCAGGGTGCATCTAACACTATCCTTCTGCCTGGGAACTACTGGATGCATTTTGCAACCTTTGCCAATGATTATAACAATGGGATGTCGGCAGTCAAGAACCCAGATGGCACAAAAACTGGCTTGATTTTCGATATTCATCAAGTTTGTGACCTATGTTCCGTTATTTTTTCAAACAGATGGATCTGATTATGTTTCTTCTTTACCTACAGTACCTTGATGTCGATGGATCTGGGGCTCACAAGGAATGCACTCAATATCATCCTGATGAGATCACTTCGGTCGCTGCCTTACTAAAACGCGATGGTCAACAAGCAATAGTTACAGAGACAGGTGGTGGCAACAGTCAATCCTGCAGCGACTTTATCTACAAGTTTGTCAAAGCAGTCAACAATGTAAGTACGTTTCCTTTGTAAACTCTCGACAGTATTACTTACATAACGCCTTCTTGTTATGACTCGTTTATAGGAATTTCCTACCTTCATTGGAGCCCTACTGTGGGGCGGTGGACCCTTTTCAGCAGTAAGTCGTCTGTAATTTCGATTTTATATCCTGGAGCTGACGACATACCATCGCTAGGATTCTACGCTGGTGATTACTGTCAAAGAGGTTCGTTGACTCATTAAGCCCGTATATCGAGTGTTTGTGATGGTTTACGCACTTTGACTGATTTATTCTCTTTGTACAGGGAAATAATTGGAAGGATCAGATTAACTTGGAAGCAATGAAAAGATCCCTGGCCTCTGGCTCAAGCTCTTAAATCTGATGATCATATCGGATTGTAGTACTACGGTGATGATTCTCTAGAAACTGAAGAAGATAGTCTGGGTCCAACTAACTCTTATGTCCAATCAGGTGTCGAGAGTAGTTTGGATACATCCAAGCAAACCTGTTCATCTGCATGTATACCTTTGATCATTCATCTTGTCTATTGTGAGAAACTTATAAGCTATCACCATTTTTGCTGAGCACGCTTCATCCGGCATTATTCTCCTTCGTATTGTATCTCTTCTTGTTTTTCGACTTTCAACGATGATTCTGTACTCAGTCTCCAGGAGTCGACAATCATAGCCACAAGCTTGTATGCTGCGTACGAACCTATCATTGGAGATTTTGTTTGTAAGGGGCCTGGTCCACATTACATAACTCATATGAGGACTTTTTACATTCACCTTCCAACAGGCGATTCTTTATCCCTATATGATTACCCTGCCATGATCTCAAGTCCTCGTCCTATACATTCACGTATCAGTGACTACTACTGTAAGTTCTGCTTTGTGTCGGAATGTATGCATCTCTCTGTCTCGGTGATGCAAGATAAGACGACTCAAAGAATATCACACCCCATCTTCACGGACTAACGGGTGACTGCTTTTCTTTAGTCACTCTGCCGCGGTCCAAAGCTATCAGCAGCTATATGAGTAGGATCGTTCTCAGAAAGCACCTAGTTTATGTGGTTGTCTACGTAAAACTTGAGTAAAACTTGAGAAATTAATGATGCAGGTCATTTGAGTTCCATGCCAATAGAAAGCTATGAAAGACATCTTTGCTTTTCCTATCAGCTGTACCATTGATGTTCATTTCTGCATCCTTATCAACGGGTCCGATTGATATGCTTACTATTTTATCAGTCTTATCTATGGTGTTTTATTTGGATGGGATTTGTTTCTGTGTTGTACCCTCACTAATGCTAATGAGTCGGGTGCGATCATGCGTGACTCTGTGCCCTGTGATTGTGACAAGCTTGCTGCTTACTTCCTCGTTTGAGCGGCCAGTACAGCTCAGAATACGAGGGACTTTCGTTAAGTTTGCTTACTTAAGCCCCCTAACTTTTAAGTCCCCTTAGCTAAGCTCAAGATCAGAGTGACGAAATTAGAAGGTTTTTGAAGGTTTTCGAGGGTTTTGGCGAGCCGGGGCACAGATTGGAATTGGGGTCACGTATTACAAATACAGGCATTCTGACATGAATGGCTGAACTGGTGTCTGTGCATGGTCTGTATAGAATATGCTTAAATCGAGTTTAGGCTCTGTATTGATTTCTTTTTTGAATTGGATTTAATCGATGAGTTTTTTCAGTTTTTCATTTCTCCTTTACCACCAATACAAACGCTACGTGGGACAATTCAATCTCTTTGTTTGAAAATTTGACAGCTTTTGTTCATTTAACTTCCTTTTTCCCAATCGACCGGAATAAATATTTCAATCTTCCCATATCACCTTTCGATATCGTTTATCAATCCAACTACCAACCACTTCAAGTTCCCTATCATCACCGACTCTTACTTTCTTACAGTCTCTTGTCAATTCCTCTTAGATCGCTCAGGATCACTCTTACCATATCATTACAATCTAAACTTCGAAATAAATTTTCAATCACATTATGAACGGAGCCATGACTGGGTATTCATACCCCGTTACCGCACCTGTCTTTCCTCCCGCCAATCAACCTATGGCTGGTCACTATTCTAATCGATTGGATCATACTTCACCTCAGTCTCACTACCAAACTCAACCGAAACAACTTCCTTCCGCTTCAGCTTATCCAGAAGTGCCTCAGATGCAAGGTTTACCCATGCCACCTCCTTCCATTGGCTACGATGTGACCGAATTCCGTCAATTCTTTCAGTTTGGTCTTCAACAACTTCGACACAACAATAAGTATATCATCAATGATCTGACCACTCTGGCTAGCGTTTATCAACATCGGATGTCACCCTTTATTGTCAAAGATATTGATCAACATATTCGTGATGTAAGTTTATTTTCTTCTCTCTTTCTTTCATCATCAGGGGTCTCTAGGTATTGGGTTGGTAAGCGTCAGTTAGGGATCAGTGGGAACGAACTGCCAGGCTAGCGTCTCTCGATCACTCCCAGCGATTTGTTTGCCGTGCCAACCGTAAACTCCTATGAGAGCTTGAATGGACGTGCTCCAACGATCTTTTCGTTCTGCACATCTTGTTGGAATCTCTCGTATCAGTCTTGACTCTTGAAAACATTCAATCATTGAGATTGTTGTTAATTGTGAAAATGGTGACGAGAATGATGAACTCACTCAGGTAAGCCCTCCGGTCTCAACATAAATATGATTTTGACGAACTGCTTCCCTTGCTGATATCTGTTTTCCATTTTGCTTAACCGACTATGGTCTTCTTTTCCGGCTTCTTCCGCCTCCTGGGTGTTTCTTGTTCACTTGTTACCTTATCGTATGTTTGATTGATTGATGACGGGCTGGTGTTGGATTCGACATCGTCGTCTGCTCTTTGTTGTATGCTTGCTGCTTCTCGAATTTGTATGTAGCTCTAGTTGTTGGAGCCATCATCTCATAGCCTTGCTACTTCACTCGCAAACCATTCATTTTGTGGAAAAAAACACAGAAACTCATTCAAGCTAAAGAGAAGAAAAGATTTGACCATCATGAATAGTATCGTAGAGCTCGTGTCTGTTTACCGACCAGAATCTCTTCACTTTCTCTCTGCTTTTCAAACTAGACAGCTTTTTTTATTTTTTCTTGTTTACTTTTTCTCTGCGGTCCTCTCGAATCATCGGAATCCTCTTTACCTTACACTTCACTTTTATTTGTTTCGATTTCATCACTCCTTTTTTGCACAACTTGAACAAACCCCCCCTCCTCGACCTCTTTCGACAACTCTATCAAATCATCCACTACAAGCTACTCTCGACCATCTTCCTCCTATACTACTATTGGCCCTTGTGGTCACATCATTAGCAGGCTTCTTCTGATGTCTGGATCTTTGTTTGGTATCAAATCTTACCTATTCATTGCTGGTTTGCGAGTTGCCTCATCAACGCCATTCTTGCTGTCGACCCACTAAGCACTCTTTCGCGGCCTTTTTTCTCAATACTTACTTATACAAGTTACTGAGCCCGGTCACCAGACGCTTTATCCAACCAGAGACCCCACTGATGATGAAGATGAGACAGTGAATACGAGCATCTATGTTGCGAGTCATTGACCAAGTTTTTTCCTGCGCCTTTCTCTCTTTTTTTGTTTTGCTCTTTTTTGTTTTGTAGAGTCATCCAGCACACCGATTAGTGGCTTTTTATGTTATCGACTCGATCTGCAAGAACCTTGGTCACCCTTACCCTGAGTTATTCAAACCGTTTATGGAAAGGCTATTTCTGAGCGCCTATCGTGATGTAGAAGAAGTTGATGGTATTGCAAAGGTCAAGATCATTTCCCTTTTCCTTCAACTTATGTTGTCTAGAGCTAGTTTCTCCTCAATTCCATGAGCTGTTACTGAATTGTGCCACTTTGTCTCTTGCTCTCATTTAAATCTGCTGGGGTACATTTCCTACCTTTATAACGCACCACAGGTCAAATTCGAGGAATTGCTAGGCACATGGCGAACTGGTTCAGCCCGTGGCACCGAACTTTTTGGAGCTGATATCCAACGACGTATTGAGGATGGAATCTTTGGGAGGTGGAGACACGGTGGGGATATGCTAGACAGTCAAGCATTCCTCAATGGGGTGGGTCTCATTTTTCTCATATCACAGTGGCTAGACTTCCCCGAGCTTACAGTATACGCACTTTCCTCGACATGCTAATTATTTGTAGATGAAGCAGCAGCCAGCTGTTGCCACCCCTGCTGAAAAAGCCAGCATTCTATATGATCTACGCAGAATCCTTGCCGAGCGGGAACGCATCGCATATAGCTATCCAACTGACCAAGCTAATTTGACGCAAATGGCTACATTGCAACAAGTTTGTTTTCATCTTTTCCTCGTCTTATGCCTCGAAGAGTCAGCTGACACTATGCGTTGTTGATTAGCTCGAGCAATTAGTTGCCAATCAACAGTTGACAATAAATCAAGTGGAAGAGATTCGACAACAGCTACAGCCACTAAAGCCCAGTACTCCACCTCCGCTTCAAGCCGATCCATCCCAATATCCTCAACACGAACTGCCGATTGAAGCCGCTCCAGCCCAATATGCTCAACACGAACTGCCGATTCAAGCCGCTCCATCCCAATACGCTCAACACGAACTGCCCATTGAAGCCTTGGCGCAGCCGCCAGCGCTCGCTCTTCAGCCAGCAATGGTCGATCTGACTGACCCTACCTCCCTAGCAAATCTGACTAGACTCTTCGCCTCAAACCCAAACATCCTCCTTCAAGCGGTAGCAAACCCGGATCAACTCATTTCTGCTCAATCTCAACCACTCGGCTCAAACAACCCTCTCGCGGCCTTCCTCCAAAACGCTGCACACCAGCAAGGTGTGGTTACCTCCCATCAACCTCTTCTACCGGCGGTGGAAAGTGCAGCAGAGGTGCCGAGCTTTTTTGATAGCAATTCATTGGCTGCAGCCCTTGCCTCCCTCAATCCTCAGCCTACTTTGATTGTTCCGTCAGACCAAGGCGAAGGCTCTAGTCGAGAGAAGTCCGCCGAATTATCTGTCCCTCGACACAGTCCTTCTCCTTCTACTAGCAGTCACGATGGTGGAGATCCCAATGTCACTGAATATCAGGAATATGTACTCAGTCTTGGTATTGAACTCACTACATCATCGATCAATCGAGCCAATCCATCTACCATTGCCGATGTTCTTTATGGAAAAATACCACAGTATTGTCGCCAGGATGGATCACGATTCTTGAATGGACGCACGGGTGAAGCCCGAGCATCAGCTCAACTTGATGCCCATTTCCGTCTCCAGCGGCGCGCCCGAGAGCAGACCAATCGTGCTCAACAACGTACATGGGCCATCACAGAAGCCGATTGGGTGAAATCTCATGATTTTGGTATTGAACATGAACGCAAGAAGGGCGATAAGTTAGCGGCAGGATCAGAAGAGGCCGCTCAAATTGCCGAAGCCGCGCAAATACAGACGACAGCGGAACTAAAGCAAAAAATGGTACTTCGGCCTACGGATCCAGCTGAGGCAAGTAAAACGTGTCCTATATGTAGAGAAGGATTTGAAACGAAATTCGATCAGGATGAAGAAGAGTACTATTGGTTAAATGCAATCTCAGCTGGTAAGAAGACAGCGACAGCGACACAAGTAGTTTATCATGCTACTTGTCACTTTGAGACCATGAGAAACAAAGCACGTATGAAATTGAAAAGAGAGGAAGAGGAAGCTAAGATGAGAAAGATGATGGAAGAGGAAGAGAAGAAGTTGAAAGCGGAAGCAGAAGTGAAAGTGAAGGTAGAAGAACAGGAAGAAAATGAGCAACGATTAGGTGAGATGAATTCAGAAGCTGATGGTGGTGTTAATCAATTGAGTAGTAGTCAAGCTGGAACTACAAGAGATGAAAATTTAAATTTACAACTTGATGAAGACTTTTTTGGAGGAGTGATTGACGAGAGTGATGAAAGATCTAATACTACTCCTAGCGTTGAGACCGTTCAGCCTACGACCTCTGTTTCTAATAAGAGAAAAAGTTTAGATGTATCGGAAGATTCAGAGGTTGTGATTGTGAATGAAGATGACGAATCTAGTTCATTGAGGAAAAAAGCTAAAGTGATTGTTGTAGAATAGAGAGAGACGATGAAAACAAATGTGTCTTTTTAAAAAAAGGAAAAATATACTGCATATAATGAGTATTTACTATGTATAAGCTGTGTTTTTCTTACTTTAAATATATATATATTCATTATTTTCAGTTGTTTTCCCTAATTTTTTGAGGTAGAAGTTACAATACGGATGGGTCATTTTTCTTTGTTTTTCTCCTTTTATTAATCTTTTTATTATTTCTCAATTTTTCTTCGAGGTTTTCTTTGTGATTGAAAGAGTTTATAAAGGTTTTTCTTTAGATTTTTTTTATCAATTTGATCAATTATCATATTCATAAATTGGACTTTACTATAAAAACACAATTGACTTGAAAAGATCAGTCGTACAGTCAAACTGAGTTTTGTTGAGCAAGAATCATTGACAGAAGGTTTGAAAAGATACATTTCAATGTTTGTTTGAAGTTGAGATTTATGAGCAATATCTTGTTCAATAAACAGTTGAGAAATGTGGGCAGTTACTTTGCAATACACGAGAGGAACTGTTGAAATTAAGTTTTACCAATGCGCCCAAGATCCACATTGCTGACTGCGATCAGCATCCTGAAAGAAGCCAGGGTTGCGTTGGAACTTGGCAGAGATTACCACACTCAAATTTAAAGTTTGCACCACATCACCAACCTCCACTATCACAACCCTCCGCTGCAGCTTCGCGCTCGTGCGTTAACTCATGGTATTGCGACCTCAGGCTTTAGTTAAATCAGCAGGTGGTGGCGCTGACTGGATGTAATGTCTGCTGCCACTTCGTCTTGGCCCACAAGGATTTCTTTTCTGCCATGATTAGTCAAGCCAGATCCCAGTCAACCGATGGAATATTAACAACAACTTGGTTCTTCATAGTAAATTGAGAATCTATTACATCCCAAGATACATCTAGTAGGTAAGAGGACTCATTAACATATCCATTCTTTTGTTAAACTTACTCCACAATAAAATCCTTGACAATCAAAGACACCTCTATCCATGACTTACTTGTGATTTTTATGCACTGACAAAGGCTTTCAACTTGTGTTACCTTGCTCACATTATTTCCGAGTTTGGTCAAACTGTTTTGTAAGTTATTACTATCAGGCCGAAGTTGAGGGAAGACTTGTGTCGATCTGTGGACATCGGCTCCCACAGCACAGCTAGGATTGCTTTCACTCATTCATTCATTTTCTTTGCTTTTCCTTCATTCAAATTTAATAAATCCCCAGCACAGAACACTTCAGAACACAAGGTGCTTCAACTTTATGAAGAAGATCATTTACCTTTCGCCCATCTTTCGGTTTGGAGATTTGTGAGAGCCATCAAAGACATTTAAAAGGTTCATCTGATTTCTCTATATGTTTATTTAACTCTTCTTCAAAGCCGTCCTCATCATTACCCCTTATTATTATTAACCCCAGAAACACTAGATCAAACTTTACGATGCCAGGACCGCCTAGCCCGACTGAGGTCGTCGAATTTGTGCTCAGCATACCCTTGGGAACAAACCCATACCGCGCAACAGCTGAATACGTGACAGTGTTTCTTCAGGTGCGTGAAAAGCTACGAGGCCATGGTGTCATAATCCTTGATTATGTTAGGTGACTTCCTCACATCCAACTGAAAACAAACTTGTAATACCTCACCTTGTTCTTTCTTTACAGCCGTGTCCTCTTCCAACCTGGTCACACTATGTAGATCATTGCTTTGCAGTGCTGTATCTTGTGTAAGACATTGCAATTTTTTCTAGTCCCTTCCATTTGGAGAGACCTACAGTCGTTTTCAAAAAGCTTGCCGCTAATTCACCGCCAAATTGCTCGAGTTTTGCGGGCAAATTTCGGCAAGCTTTTTGAAAACGACTGTACTAATGTGGATAAATCTTTGATATTGATTTCAATACGCTTCAACTTCTTAAAGAACGACTTGCTTAGCTTTATACGTCATCTACATCAGGACTAAGACGACCGGGTTTTCCTTCTTCCGCCTGAACACGCGTGAGTGAAATTATGTAGAATTATGTCTCGATACACTTGATTGATGTTTATCGTTCATCCATTAATCAGTCGGATTAATATGGATTGATCGCGCTTTTCATTGCGGTTCATGTTACGTGGCCCATAGTCTAAGTTTGTCAGATAAACGTACTCAATGTTCGTATTTCGAATGACCAACTTTATCCTTGTGTGTTTCAATGTAGTCGCCATAGCCGAGATTATCTGCAAAGATTTTGTCTTGGCCGGTCGTCTGGATCAGGCATGTACAAATCTCCTGCTGAGCCTCAAAGGCGCCATTGTACTTACAAGCACATGGTGAGCACATCTCTTCAAAAATGTTGTCAATGGACATCGGACTGAATGTTTTCATATTGTTTTGAAGGGGTGAATATTTGCGCGATGGCAAACTTACAAGTGAGAAAGATGCTGACTGGATTTTCACGTTCCGCCTCAGGATTTGTATGGATGTGCATTTGTCATCGAGCATATTTAAAGTGGGGGCCTGTCGGGGTATCCTCGAACACATCAAAATATGGCATTCCTTTCAACTTAGCCCCAATTATGAATGCATGTTTTGTGCTCGCGTTGATATGGACAATAGGTCAGCTCAAGAAGATTTCGATTTAGCATACTCACTACACTGATGCACTCTTGACATTCACAGCCCCGGTGACCTGGGCTTTCTCTAGACTTACTATTGAATACAACTCTCTCAACGGTAGTTCAAGAAGCGTGATACGACAGCTTCTGGATTTAGCTTTGACCTACTCTCCAACGACTTATAATTCCTTGCAGTTGCTAAATATCATGCTTCCTTTGAAAGAGTCTCTCAAACACACCGTAAGTCACGATAGTAACTTTTAATTATTATGATACAAATTTAAAAAAGTTCGTCTGATCTTTAACAAGTTTTCCTGTAAGACGGGCAAATTGGCATTAAAACTTTGGCAAGCTTTGTGAAATTGACAGTACTTTGGAGGTGTGCTATTTGTCTCATTGATTGATTTGATATGTTTTTTCACCTCTTCAGGCTCAGATAGTGCGCTTTACTCGACTTGGAAGTATCTTCTATATGGCGAACACCATGATCTTAGTCTTGGTGAGCTCCATGATACAAAATAGCCCTTCAAGGGCTGGGATCTGACTATGATTATGGGGTCGAAGGTATACATCCCATTTGTCTTTCTTATAGCAAGAGACTTACGGCACAAAACGGATAGGGATATTATACTTCTAAGGCAGCAAGAGCAAATGCTAATGCAAGCTATCCTGCACATCACAATGAGTTTCTTGACTATCCCCGTTCTCCTTTACCTGGTACGTACATGCATCGATTTACTTTCAATTCGGTCGTACCTTTTTTGCATCACCTTACATTATCTTTCAGTTGCATTTTCCAGGTGACTCTTTTGTATATGATCCGAAATATTGGCTCGCACTTCGGGTGGTAAGAGTTCTTTCCTATTTGTCGGATTGATGCTTTGTGAAGATGAACTCGTCAGCATCTGATTCTTGTTTCATTTGCTCAGGGTTTACATGGTGCAATGTTGATTGCTGGTTTCCTGTGAGTACGCAGTCTTTGTGCATCTGACGTACAATGGTTTTCTGACACATGGTTCAACAGTGCCTTGTTTTTGATCTACTGTAGTATGCATCAGACAAGGTTATTCCATAGCATAAATAGCGTCACAGAGATTGGTATGACAGAAATGATTAAAGAAGAGATTTGAATGTGATATATCAACATGTATTTCTGGAAACTACATGGTTGGTTTATGTATATTAGACGTAGAAATCTGAAAACTGATATCCCTGGGCAGAATGGATGCTCAGAACCAAAAAATACAATATATAATTAAGTTATCAAGGTGTGTGTTGTATGTTTGGAAATGTAATTATTTTTAATCAAACATTTTGTTGAGAGATGAGTCAAAAGTAACAAAATATTATGTGAATGTTCTTTGGTGAAGGAGTTTAATTTAGCTAATCATGTTTGAACAGACACTTTCTCCTTCAATTTATTTGAGAAGAAAGAACTGAAGGCATAAAGGAATGGTGGAATCAAAAAAATACCAATACTGTAGCTACAGGCTACACTGTGGAACATCTCATCACCAGCTCTGGAACTGGTCCCAAATTTTCACAAACTTAACTAAGTCCCTCGCTGGCTCTGTGCCAATCGGGCCTTTGGCACAGAGCCAGCGAGGGACTTAGTTAAGTTTGAAATTTTCAGACTGTTTTCACAAGGCTAAGTATCAGATAGGTACCTGACAGGTCACATGCCTGAAACCTTGAGGCAAGCACCTGAGGCTTTAGGCTGAGTACCTAATGTCCTTAAGATTGCTAGCCTAGGGTCCTAGGCACCCAAAACAGAAACCCCCCTGATCCTCAATTGGTGGTTTCAGGTACCTAGCCCATGTTTGGTCCCAGATGTTGACCATCAAGAGAAAGCAAAAATCTAATAATGCTTCCTCATCTGACCCATTGATTTATCTCCTTGAAACTTTGATGTTGAAGTTTTTCTTCTTGAGCTCAAAAACCAAATTTGGTTTGGCAGGGGGAAGTGTAGTATAAGCCTTTAGCTCCTGTACATACATCTTGATCCACCATAGGAGCATACTGAGGAAAGGGAGGACCCCAGAATGCCCCTACAAAGGGTAGTCCCAAAAAAAGTTCTTTTTGAGCTCTCTCGGGGCTTTCCAGCATGGGTTTACAGATGCCTCATTTGGTTTTTAGCCCGCTCATTGTCCTCCTCTCATCTCTTTGACCATTGCTAAACACCAGTTTTTAAGACACTTTGGCTACTTGAAACTAGCCCCTCAATGCTGAGGAACACCTAGTGGCTTGCCAAAGCACCCCTTAAGTGTTTTCCTGATTGATTCTTGCTTTGAATCAAGTCGTCTTGAGATTTTAGATGTTATTTGATCGGTACCTGGAATTATGGGTTATGATAGGAAACCGGGGGCCCCAAGAGAGCTCAAAAAGAACTTTTTTTGTGACTACCCTTTGTAGGGGCATTCCGGGGTCCTGGAAAGGGATCAAACTACCAGTGTTGTGTAATGGTCTCATCACCACAGTCACTATATGCAAGTCAGAGACCAGTCAAGTTGATGTAATTTCCTTGAACTGTGGCAGCCCTTATCAACACTGTGGCATCTATCCTCAAGAAATCAAGTGTTAATGTTCAATCGACATAAGGAGTTAATTTAGTAAAGGACATAAATAAAACTAATCATTAAGAGTTAAGAAATCACTTAAGTAAGGATAGACGAGAATGATGTCATATTTCATTTAACCCCAATCAATCATATTCCTTTTCCTTATAATCCTCGAGCTCTCTGTTGTAGTTCTCTTTTCCCATCTTTGGAAAAGAGAACGTACGTATTTTATAAACTTGTTTTTCACTCAATTGAATTTTATCTGATATGAATCTGTTAGTTTTATCTTTGACTTAGATCATAGCTCACATTATCTACGTGTGCTTCATTTTATTATCATCTAACCTTTAACAGGTACTTTAACCTTTATCAATCTTTTCATTTCCATAAACTAGTGATTGATGTTTTCTTTGTATCATGTTGTTGTGTTATAGGTTAGTCAATATTCCTAAGAGCAGGATATTATAGTCACCTACTTATTGTTTATAGCGCTTCTATCAGGTAATTAAAACAATCTTTGGAAAAGAGAACTTTTATCTTTGACTTAGATCATAGCTCACATTATCTACGTGTGCTTCATTTTATTATCATCTAACCTTTAACAGGTTAGTCAATATTCCTAAGAGCAGGATATTATAGTCACCTACTTATTGTTTATAGCGCTTCTATCAGGTTAGTCAATATTCCTAAGAGCAGGATATTATAGTCACCTACTTATTGTTTATAGCGCTTCTATCAGGTGTCAATCTATAGGATCTCATTCCGATTCACTCATACATTTTCATCAAGGGATCTGGATTGGGCAGAGTGTTATTTTACATTGTATACAGATATTTTATCAACTTCACAAAAGTGATAACCAGCCTTGATCCTCAAGCTTCACTACAAGAGTGTAACTTTTCACTAGCTCAATCACAGTGCTGCAGACACTTTGATGATCAGACAGAAATGTCTGAAAAGGTTTGGACAACATTTTTCTGTAAGAAAGAAAATCATTCAACCTTGAAAAACAAAATGCATACATAGATGCAGCGGTAGTCCCAACAGATTGGCTTAAATGTAATTTGTGCTTTTGACTTCCAGATTCATTCTTGGCAATGGGATTGTGAGTAGAGCAAAAGATGTGAGAAAATTATTGCTACCATGTTCATTAGAAAAATTTCAGGTGTTCTTTGGACCAAAGGCAGAGCAAATGGAGGCCCAAAATTGATTTGGCATTAGGCGAGATTTTCCAATAAGAAGCAAGCTCCCCTTCTGCCGTAGGGCTGTGACCCAGCCGTGCAGCTTTGACTGTCCCATATTGAACCCCCTTAGACTGTTGGTGACATGAGCTAATATGAATGTATTTGGAGTCTTGAGATAGGGACCTGATAGGACCCCGGAATGCCGGTATAAGGGGTAGTCAACAAAAAACATGACTTTTGAGCTTCCGCGGAAATCCGCTTCATGGGATTACACTTCGGTCATGATTTCTGCCGGTTTTTGCCTTCCTATATCACCATCGTTTCCATCCTTTGACAGGTGCTCACATATTGTGACATCTCACAAACTTTATTGTGAGATCATAAAGAATGGCCAGGACAAAGCTTCATATATAGACAGCGTGAAGAAGCATGGAAAATATTCAAGGGACTCAACTTGTTTAATTAGATTTTGGTCCTCCGTTGTCAGATTCCCCAACTCTCTGATCAGCTCATGTCGTGTCATATCAATATATTCAATGGAAGAACCTCATCGCTCAACCTCGCCGGGTATGCGTACCGCCAAAGCAAAATTGTCTGCTAAGAGGGCTTCCGACAAAGATTCAAAAAGGCGTAAAAACTGCCCTTTGAAAACGGACGATGGCCAAAGCTGCCCGCATTGTATTTTTCAAAAGGACGGACCTAATATAAGGTTGAAATGCCACTGCGGCAAGGAAGTAAAGATGATACGGGGCAGTATCCAGCTCGCTCAGACGCATTGGAATACATGTAGGTCTTGGTTGTTGAGGCAAAGGTTAACCTTTCTTTAACCAAGTACTGAACCTTTGATGTTACTTTAATTTCACATAGCGAGTTGTAAGAAGGAAACTGCGAGCCTCCGCAGGGCAGTAGATCGACCAAAAGACTTGAACGGTTCGAACGATCAGCCACAGGCTGTTGACGTCCGATGCGCGGGCCTGACCGATGAGACATGGAAGCGACCAAATCAGCAGCCTATATCAATATGTATTGAGCATTCTTGCACGGCCTATCATGGGTATCCACCAAGATTCACTGTATGCCTCAAGTTGTTCGGCACCTCTCTAGAGAGCTCCTTGTCAGATAGTCAGAAAAAACAGCTACACGAAGAACTTTTCTCGCTGTCGTCATGGATCATCAGACGCGACGGAAGCCAGGGTTCCATCCACTCTACCAACTGTACCCAACGGGTTGCTACTCTTGATCCAGAGGCTGTCGAAGTCTGCAAGCCATGCTTGGAGCTGAAGAAAGTCCCTTCATTTCTCAGAGCTATCACTCGAGGCTACGCAACAGATGATAGTCTGAGATTTGTTGCAAAAATCTTCATGAATGGGGGTTCATTTCATGATTTGCTTTTGCGGTATACTGAACTGAGGATGTTGTTCCAGTCACTCGAACGTTCAACCCGAGCTGGAGATCTTGAGTTTTGGACAATGTTTGGTGTACATGCCCGGGCTGGACTGTTCAAAAATCTGCCTGTGCTTAGAGGGGTAGCAGAGGGTGTTGGAATTCGGGCTGAGCGCGAAGCTAACGGTCGAAGCACACGAGGAATGCCGTTTAACGACTACCTCGATAACATGCTGACGACAGCAGGAGCTTACTCGAGAGGTGCAGTTGAACTCTTTCGTGCAAACCTCTGTGGCCGATCGTCTCGTGGCTCCCGATTAGTACGCCAGCGGATTGGTGCTCGGATGCTTGACAAGTTTCACGTCAAAAACGTTCTTCCAGTTGTTTCTTGGCTTGAGCGATACAGATACAAAGGGCCCGTCGCAGCTGGCACAGACCAGACCGTCTGTGTAAAAGCTCTTCGGTACAATCAGGGGTGCTTAGTTGGTCTCGAAGGTGGTGATGTTGAAATCTCTGATATGGAACACCTGAAGCAATTGGTTGAAGATGCGGTTGAGGGTGATTGCTTGTGTAAAAAGGTCAGAGCTTGATCCTTTGTACTTTTCAGTATCCTAGCTCCACCTCTTCGAATCAAAATTGAACAACATGAATTTTTTTGCAGATTCGAGCGTATACATTGCAGGTCCCTCTGCCAAATGTCCCTACCTTTGTTGTAGCTTTGATATCTAGCCATGAGAACGAGTCTGCTGAGGAAATCAAGGACCAGCACATCGAATTCATTGATCTACTCGAATCAGTTGGAATTCCTCTCATCTCTTTGGGGTCTGATGGTGCTGCGTCGGAACTACTTGCACAGCAGCTACTTGTTGACTCGGCAACCAATTATCTCGAGTTTTCAGCTCCAAACCTCAAGGTTGACATACGTGTTCCGCTTCTGGGTGCCTCTAAAAGACCAATTGTGGCGGTACAAGATCCCAAGCACGCCCGGAAGACGGCTTCTAATCAACTACTTTCTGGTGCACGTTTCTTAGCGTTTGGACGGTTCAATGTCCACCTCGACCAGATGATTTCCCTACTTAAAACTGACGAGTGTCCACTAGGCTATAAAGATATACTGAACACTGACAAACAAGACGACGGCCGTGCTTATCGAACCTTCAGCGAGCACACTTTCAAGGCTGCTTGTGCGGAACCAGATTGCATTGGTCTAGTCTTATATCTCTACATCTTTGGCAAGCTTGTTGATTCATGGTTGAACCAGAGCATGTCACACCGAGATAGGATTATTTCAAGTTACACAGCGGTCTTCTTTGTCCGCAAGTGGAAGGCTTATCTTCTTAAACGTTCAATGGAACCTGGAAGCTTGATGAATTTGGCTTCGAACTGCATATCACATCAAAGCATCCGAATCTTTGAGCAGCTTGGCGAGAGTCTCTTGGGTCTCATCATCTCTCACCACGAACATTACCCTACCCACCCACTTATGCCTTGGAAACATGGAACCGAATGCTGTGAGCATATCTTTGGGTGGATGCGGGTTATTTCACCTACCTTCACAGTACTGGATGCGAGACAAATGATGCCAAAAATATTTGCAGTTATAAAGAGTATTATGAGTGGGCATATCACATTGCCCAAAAAAGAGAATTTGCATGCAGGCAAGTTTGTCTTCACAAGTCTTCTCAAAGTGGATATTATACTGATCAGACATTACATAGGTTATGAATATGATTTCTCGCACGACAGTACACAAGATCATACTCACATCCTCAGTCAGTACCCTAGTGACAACGAAATACGTGACCTACTGGAGGTTGCAGAAACTTTTGCACAGGAACTTGCAGCTTTTGCTGGTATGGCTACCAATAATCAGGATGTCTCAGTTCAGGAACCCACGGGTGAGCAGACCTTAGCAGAGCAACATCTTGATGTGTCAGTATCAATACACAAGCGCTCCTACTTGGAGTATCCTTTCAAATCAGCCACAATCAGTCCTGAGGAGGCATTAGAAACTGCGGCTGGATTGACGAGTCAACATCAAGAAGCCGACGTGGTGATGTCTAAATTAACATTGGAGATGGAAGATCTAGCGTTTGAAGCTCCAAGCACCTCTATGGTACAGCAGCCAAATCCGAACCAGCCACTCAACAAAAGTGAAAAATCTTCAACTAATTCAGAAGCTTCTTTGACACCAGATGGAATCTTAAACATTGTTCATATGGCTTCCAAAAGGCATGCACATGACAGCCAAGTTCAGAAGCATCATGGTCCTGAGCGACCACGTACCACATCAAAAGATTTATCTGTTCCTCAATATGATCCTGACACCGGCAACGAGATAATTTCGCCAAGTCAGTATAGCAAAGCCGTCTCGTTCTACTGGCGATCTCATGAGGACCCTGAGTACGGTGAAAGCCGTCAAAATCGCTGGAAAAAACTTGGAAAACGTAAATTACACAAGGCTACAGACGAGCACCCAGAGAATAATCTAGAGGCGCTGGATGCTCCTGGTACACGAATCGAACATATCTCAGCAGCCGATTGTACCGAGCCACAACAGAACAATCAACTGGCTAGAATAGGTGCAATAAATTTTGAAAATCCGCTTTCAAAAAACAAATGGGTCGTAGTGATTAAGCAAGACGTAAGCACTGATCTTGAAATTCCTGGGTGTTCTTTTACACATGCTGACCAACTCCTGATCACACACGGTTAAGTACTTCTATCTGGGCCGCGTTCTCTCTGTCTTTCAACATAGCTCAGGAAAGCACGCATGGGTTCAAGAGGCTCAATCCCGTGCAAATATCTCCTACGTTTCACTGGAGGTTTATCGATACAGCCCTGGTCAAACAAAGGTTCAGGCAGCTCATCAGCAAGAATTTCCGATGGAATGGACCTTCAGTCATCTGCCTGTAAGATTTATTGTTCACCTCTACACTCCTCAAGACCAAGAACCAGGTTTTGTCTGTATTGAACCTGGTCATTATCAAGTCCCCAATTCTCTTGTGAACTTGATAGCCACTTGTCCCGAGTGGCAGAGATGTTTTTTGCCCAAAATCATCAAACATAAGCACCAGAAGCGTGCAAGGAAGGTACCACAAAACTAATTGTGATATCATTAGAGTGTGTTTTTATCTTGTTGCCTGCATTCAAAGTTGTATAATTGATAGTCACATTTTATTACGTTATTAGTCACATGAAAATGACCAGTTATATCATTACGCTTGATCTTTTTTCCATTGTTGTATGTCACTATCAGTCCGTAATTAGATAAATATATTTTAATGTAATATCATTTAGTTGTGTAACGCAACGGTTTCAAGTTGTAATTCTTCCTCGTAACCTGAATTTTTGTAGCAGTCTTACAAAACGGCTTTTGTGCTTCATCTGATTGCATAATCTTCACATTATTACCATAAGATCTGTTGTGGATTTATTATCGCTTACAATAGGATGTGTGGTTATGTCTTCATTGAGTTCAACATACATACTGCTGTAGGTCTATCAAATGTAAATTAAACAAGGGCAACCAATTAACCAATGCAAATGGATCAACCCCAACTCGGAGCGTGTGATCAGCTGCAGCGTCAGAAATGACATAAACAAGTGCTAACACATTTGCTGAAAGCACACGTTGAGAAACAAATAGGATGTGTTCCCAGAGCCCGCGGAGGTACCCTGCATTCCAATTAGAGTGAGTGTCTTTGGAGTGAAAGGTGCGGGCATGAGAGGACCCCCTGGTGACATACAGCGTAACGTATGTCACAAGATGGTTGAACCTAGGATGTGGAGTGAGTAGAGAACAACAGAGTTTTTCTCCTCTCTACTCTCCTCCATCATCTCTCTCATAGCCCGCACTCTGAAGATCCATTGTGTCTAGATCACTCTGGATCCTTCAGAATTTTTTGAGTAGCTTTTTAATAATCCTGACAGTAATCTCATCGTATAACCGAACTCACAAAACGAGAACAACAATTACCACCACAAAATAAAATTAGGATTAGAAAAATTATCTTTAAAAATCATACATCCATCAAAGAACTCAATAAGAAGCCGGGACATCTAATTCCTTTTACGGAAGCTTAAACCACAAATTGAAGATTCACACACTGAATGTGGAGAAAACTCAAGAAGAAAACGAATACACAGGCACAATTTAAATCTATCCACATGATTCAAGCAATAAAGCTAGCGGAAGAGAAGAAGAAGGCGCAAGAGGAGAAGGAATTAGAGCAAGCAGAAATGAGGAGGAGAAGAGCTGAATCACGGGTAGGAACTGCCACAGAAGATAAGCAGAGGAACGGAGGAGAGGAGGCCAATCAAGGCACGTCATCAGGACAAATAACCAACACCTTGAAATCAATCTTAGATATAAAGAAAGAATTCATTGAGAGAACATTAGAAGATTGTCATAAAGAGGAGGACGCTGAGGAGTTAGAGAAGATGAAGAAGTCGATAGAAGACATGAAGGAAGCCGTCTTAGGTCCAGGTGAATCGGACAAGGCTGACACTGAAGATTCAGAATCAGAAGAGTTGGAGGTGATAGAAAGGACGAAAAAGAAGAAGAAAGGAAAAGCAAAGAAGAAATCATCATCAGTATCGTCAACAGAGGATGAAGAGTGGAGTCGAGAAAGAAATAGGAAGCTTGGATCAGTGATTGAGGCGGACCAAAGTAAGTCATAATCTTTGGACAAACCCAGAAGAAGGAGGCGGTCACAGTAGAGCTGCACAGCGCTCCTGAAGGGTTCACCCCTGATCGAATAGGAAAGTCCTAGGCCTAAGGGGGTTATCAAACCCCTTGCTCCAGAAATCTGTGGTAGCACTCTAGGCAAGGCAGCTCCGCAAGGCGTAGTAGCTTATGAGTGATTGAGGTTAGATACTGATACACATATGTGTTCTGATTTGTTTAAAACAGTCATACCTGGAAGGGAACCAGCGGAAGACCCCAGGAGGTCCAGCTCGAAGAAGTTGCAAGACAACCGACCACTATTAGACAGGTTGGTGGATGCACTCGAAGGTCGGAGTGATGAGGACCTAGAAACATTAAGAGAGGAGTATAGGAAGAAGTCAGCCTTAGAAGACGAGGAGAGGAAGAAGAAGGAGAAAGATGAGTTAGAGAAGAAGAGGAAGAGGAGAGAAGAGAACGAGGATAGACGAGGAAGGAGGAAAGGAGATGAGAAAGGAGAAGGTAGAGAAAGGAAAAGCGAAGAAGAGATCAGCTCACGAAAAGTCATCACAAGACACCGACTCTTCCCCATCATCGTCTTCATCATCATCCTCAGAAGACGAGAACGATCCGAAGAAGAAGAACCGAAAGCCTTTGTACGGAGAAGAAGACTCCGAAGAAGATTCCGAAACAGAGTCAGACACTTCAAAAGAGGAAAGGAAGGAGTTGAAGGTCGAAAAACCAGTAACCTTTAGATTCACTAAGGCATCAGCAGTCGACCTACCGGATCTACCTCCCCAGTGGGAGAAAAACTTTAGACGTATGAAATACTACGTACCATTATCAGTCTTCAATGCAGCATACATCGACGAATACAAATCAACGGCGAAGACGAAAGAAGGTAGACAGAGGTGGGATAACCATCATCAGACGAGGGAGGAGCTGGAGGGACAGATGACTTACGGAGAGTTTGTTTCGGCCTGTGATTTGGAGTATCGTTATGCGAAAGAAAGATACGGATTTCATGACTATGCAACCTACATAGAAAAACACAAGGACATAGTGAGCAAATTGGCTCGGAGGAATAAATGCTGGATGGTTGGGTTAAGATATCATTTGGCTATCAGAGCAGTCACATTCAGAGTTAGAGCATCGGTGGTATATGAAGAAAATGGGAAGAAGAAACGGAAATTAGACGATGTGGTTCTGCCAGACGGTCTTGATGAAGAAGCAGCCAGAGAAGCAAGGTGTGATGCCCAAATGGCCGGAGACTTACAATTTAAATGTAACCCGTACGCAAGAGGTCAAAAGAAGTTTGGATATGACTTCAGGACAGGTCAAGAGAAGGAGCAAGAGACGTACCAAAACACCAAGTTCCAACAGAACAATCAGTCGAAGGCCAACTGGAGACAGAACAGGAAGCAGCGGGGTGGAAACAGAGGCCATTGGTATAACCAAGACGAGACACCAGCTGGTACAAATACTCAACCTCAAACCTACTATCAAAAGAAGAGTATGGGGAAGGAGTGGGTAGCCTTAGGCCAGAAGCATGCGAATAACCAAGCATCATCTTCTAGCAGAGGAAGCAGGGGAAACGGAAAAGGTTACGGGAAGGGTGATAGGTGAGCAAAGGAAAGCTACATGCAGACGGACCAGTTAGATACTGACGTTTGGGAATCTTTTTGTCCTTACCCGGGTTGCCTCTTCCAATGGATTGGAACGGATACGCTGATGGTGAAATTTCGGTTACAACAAAACTTGAAATGGGTTGGTTGATGTGTGGGATGACCGGTACGGGATGATTCTCTTGTGTGAAGTTGAATGCTGCCATGTAGAAAGTCTGAGAAGCAATGAATTTGATTGCCGTGCACGATTTAGCCCTTGCCCGAAATGTCAAAGACATGAGACCTTTGAGAGACGACCCGCTGAGAGAACCGAACCGGAGTTGATAACTCCTAATCTGAAGACACACAGCAGCAAAAAGCTGACTAAGGGTGAGATTGAGGTTGAATCCAGAATCGAAGATAATGAGCTATCAGACAGTGAGAAGACGGACTCAGATAGCAAAAGAAGAACCGATGATTCAGAAGAAGAAAAGGTCAAGGTAGCGCTACCGTTGAACCAGAGAAAAACCTTCAAAGCGAAAGTCATGAACGACTGGCCGAAGAAAGTAGAAACAGGAATGAACGTGAAGGAATGGGAGAACTTGATGAAAGCGGTAGGATTGGAAGATGACATACCTTATGTCACAGAGGGATTTACCGAAGGCTTTTGTTTAGGAATACCACAGCATACAATAGGAGACATGAAGTGGTATACACCACCAAATCATGAATCGGCTGAAGACGTAAAACAAGAGATAAAGAATACGTTAGCGAAAGAAGCAAGAGAAGTAAGGATAATAGGACCATTTACTCACGAAGAGGTCTACCAAAAGTTTGGTTTCTTTAGAACAAACCCGATGGGCAGTTCGATTAATGGAGATGGATCGGTAAGGTTGATATATGATCTATCTTACCCGAAAAACAAACCTGGAATACCATCAGTAAACTCGTTTGTAGACAAAAAGAATTACCAGACGAACTGGGATGACTTCAGGATGGTGGCAAAATTTTTATGTGATAATCCAGGGGAATGGGAACTAGCTCTGGTAGACTGGAGTAAAGCTTACCGACAATTAGGCCTACACCCTTACCAACGACGATTCCTATGCGTGATGGACTTCGAAGGTAGAATATGGGTAGATTTGGCGGTAGGGTTCGGAGGGGTAGCAAGCTGTGGAGTGTTCGGAGCAGCGGCTGAGACGTGGAAGACGATCATTGTGATTTTGTTGGGAATACCAAAAGTTTTCAGGTGGGTGGACGATAGCCTAGTGTTGAAACGCCCAGGCGACAAGGTAGAACTACAGCACATAATAGAGTTGAGTGACGAAATGGGCGTGAAGACGAGCGCAAAGAAAAACCGAGATTTCACTGAGGAACAGAAGTTCCTGGGGTTCATCTGGAATGGGAGAAAACACTCAGTAAGATTGCCTCAAGAGAAAATAGACGAGAGACTTACACAAGTTAACCGTTATCTGGACCCAACGAAGGACTGGAAATTCGACCAAGTAGAAAGGTTCTTGGGTAGACTAGGACACACGATAAACATTGTACCGCACATGGCGGCCTACTTATGTTCCTTCTATAGATGGCTGAAATCGTGGAAGAACATAGGAGAGAAGAGGTTCACTCCAACGGATGTGTTGACAGATTTGATGGAATGGAAGATCTGTTTGGAAACATTCGAATCATGTACATTAGTACCCAGCAAGGTCCCGGAGGTAGTGGACTGGGTAGGGGATGCTTCGTCAACTTACGGGTAAGTGAAAATAGAGAAACAAGACACCTGAGACCAAGTTGAAGAGAGCTGATTGTCCAACATATTACAAATCTTAGAATCGGGGTTCTGATTGGTCGGAACTGGGCATGTTTCGCATGGAATGAAGACTGGCTAGTAAAAGGTCTGACCACCGGTAAACGCAACATTGCGTGGGCGGAGACAGTCACAATCAGACTGGGGCTCCTGGCGTTGGCGAAAGTAGTACCAGTCCGAGGAAGAACCTTTCAAGTAGAAACGGACAACACTACGACTCAGTCAGCAATAAAGAAGAGGAAATCTAAGGATGAAAGGTTAAATGAGGAGATGAAACACATTCAGCGCCTACTCACAATATTAGGTTGTAACATTAAAGAGAAACGTGTAACGTCCAAGAATAACCTTGCTGATGGGCTGTCGAGAGGCATTTTAGCTGGAAGGCTAGAGATGGATGAGATCAAGATTGAAATACCTACTGATCTCCGAGAATTACTACACCAGGTATCGCTACCCCAACCAACAAACGACCAGCTAACGCTTTGAGAAACTTGGAAAAGCGATGCCGAGGAAAGCAACGAAATACTTAGAGAAAGAAGACTTAAAGTCCTTCGAGTTGGTATCGAGAGCGACAAAGCTGTTCGGAGTCTTCAAAAAGAATGCGCTAGGAGTCGATAAGTCGGATGTTGATGAGGTACAAATGCATTTTCTAAGAGGAGCTTGGGTCGAGGGTACACTGAAACATTATAATTCGGGGATAGTGAAGTTGTTGAGATTTGCAGAAGTGAAAAAGGTGGAAAAGAAAAACTTGTTACCTATTTCAGAGGAATTAGTAGAGAAATTTGTGGTGTGGGCGTCAATGAAAGGGGTCTCGAAGGCAGAAGACGATGAATCAGTGAAATCAACAACAATTTTGACTTACTTAGCTGGGATAACAGCATGGCATTTGTTTCATAAGTGCAAGTATCCAGTTGGTTCAGAGTTGGCAGTGTCGAAGCTTTTGAAGGCTACTAGAATCATCGAATTGAAACACAAAGAAATCGAAAAGAAGAGACCTCCAGTCATGATAGCCGATCTAGTTCAGTTGGCGAGGGTAGGGAACATGGAGGTGGAAGTCGACTTGGTGGCGACAACGATCGCTTTAGTGGCCTTCTGGGGGTGTGCAAGACTAGGGGAATTGGTATCCGACGATCCCAAAGCCTGGCTACCAACGTGGGACAAAGTAGAATGGGGACCGAATGGTTCTTATGTCAGCTTAGCCTTACACCGATCGAAAACTGCCAAACCAGGGGAGATACATTATATTCACTTACAGGACCAAAAATCTTGCATCGACCCGGTGAGGGCCTTGAAGCTATTGTACGATTTCAGACCAAGGAAACCAACAGACCAGGTGTTTGCGATAAACGGACAAGACGGAAAAGGGTTGGTATTCAGGAAAACTAAGTTAATTGAAAGGTACAGGGAAATTTGGAACTCAAATAGACCAGCGAACAAGAAAAGATTGTACGGCCACTCCTTTAGGATAGGGGGAGAGTCGCTGAGGTGGAACTTGGGAGCGACGCGGGAAGAAGTGAAGAGGCTAGGAAGATGGTCATCAGATGCTTATAAGATTTACCTGAGAAAATTCGATGACAAGGAATTGAAGGAGACGGTAAAATTATTAAAGGAATTGAGGCTCTGACGAAGATTAGAATGGAAATAAAGTTTGAACCTTGTCGAGAAGTAGTTCAGTAATGACGACAATTGAATTAACATCAATTGAGATTCATGAGCGCCCCATAAGTGAGAACGCATGGAATAGAATGTATGCAATACTCTGAATACAGACATGGTTAAGGTCAAGCCGGCGAGCGGCTGCAGATCAGAGGTGGGGGGGTCAGAGAACGGTGAGATAACACTCACGTCAGTTGAGTTTGGGAGTTAGACTTCTCAGGCTCACAGCTCTACCTTCCGTGAGTGATGGGTTCGAGAAGTCAAACTTCTCAAGCGCTGTCCTCACGTCGCGGGGGTCGGGAAGGGGGAAAGGTAAGAACCTGTTACCCCATACCCCCGACTCCTGGGACCCACCCCAAACCACAACCTAGTAGGATGCTGTTCTAGAAGGATGGTATTCGACGGGAGAGTGGTAGGACAGTTCTTGAGAAGGAACTTCCTAGGAGACATTCTCCCAAGTATCTCCCTAGAGTATGAAAATCTCAATTCGGTTAAGAATTAACTTTATCTAAGGCCGCAATTGTAAGCCGCTACCTCCTAACACACCTCTTGATGTAAACCACTTGGAAAGGTTTCCTAGGCGTGCAGAAGCACTAAAGGAAAGATTTCAAGATGGTGACTCAAGAGCTTTCCTAAGCGTACTGAAGTACTAAAGGAAAGCTTTTGAAGCAGTGAAGAAGTATGATAGTTGATGTAAACCACTTGGAAAGGTTTCCTAGGCGTGCAGAAGCACTAAAGGAAAGATTTCAAGATGGTGAGGGAGGGTGGTGGAGGATGCTTTAAAATGTGTCCTACGTGTACAGAAGGATGAAAGGAAACATCTCAAAGAGCGCAGTAGCTGTAACTTGAGTGAATATTTTATAGACAATAAAATAGGGATTGTGAACTTCAGATATAGAGATTGAGGAATGGTGGTGACAAAAAGCGTGAGAGGGGTTACCCAAAAGACGCCAGGAGGGATGGGCTCGTCATTATATTCTCAAAACCACTCATATTCAGAAAAAACACTGAAACAAGGGTCCAAGAGCGGCTGGGCCATCCCAGCCCTTCCCAGCCGCTATTGGCAATTTGGACCTTAATGGACCCCGGTTTCACCAGTTGAGACATCAAGTTACACGGTCAAACCAGTTTGCTCTATTTCGCCCCGTTCAGCCATATTCAAAATTTTCAATAGATGTTGTATTGAACACTCTAGTGCGTCGATATCCTGCCCAGCTATGTAGTATTTGAAAAGCATCATTTGGTAGTTTCACCATTTCACGGTGATTGATATCAATTAACAACATCATTAGTCCGACTAAACTAGCTTTGTACTTATATAAAGGCCATTAAAATCTGACCACAGCGATGGTGACAAAAGGCATGGGACAGGAGGGTTTTTTGAGAGAAGCCTTGGATACAATCCTTTCCAATTTCAATGCCCTCGGTCATTAAAAGTAGCTGACACACTACCGCTTTCGGTTCACAGTGTTTATGTAATGCAAAGTAAGTGTTGTGAAAGGTCTTGAGTAATTCCGAGGAAAGATCAAATGTGGCTTAAACCTATGGGTGAAGCGAGGGATGGACTTAGCGGTTTGGCAGGGGCGGATTTCCGCGGGAGCTCAAAAGTCATGTTTTTTGTTGACTACCCTTTATAGGGGCATTCCGGGGTCCTGACCTGATAGCATGCACTAATGCACAGATAAGCACCTCTTCTACAAGTTTATCTAAGTGAAGACTTCTGACCTGGAGAACAAGTAGTGAAATGATTGTTGTTTCTCTTCCCAAAGGTAAGATTATTATTCACCTGATAGCATGTGCTACTGCACAGATAAGCACCTCTTCTACAAGTTTATCTAAGTGAAGACTTCTGACCTACAACATCATAAACTTAATTAGAAAGATTAGGCTAATACGATAGAAAGAAATATGATAAGTACCTGAAGAACAAGTAGTGAAATGATTGTTTATATGTTAGTTATCACATGTAAGATAACTGATCTCAGGTTTAATGAAAGAGTTGATGCCCTAGTTGAACAGGAAATGAGAACATAACAAAAATAAGAAAGAAAAATAGTTAACAACAATACTCTCATTCAATTCTAAAATAGTGAGACTTGACTTACTTCTCTTCCCAAAGATGGGAAAGACAAGTAAAACTTTTGGACAATGATAACACATATATATATCTATTCAATCTTATCAAACTCATTGGGGTGGATGATAATAATTAATCTACCACTTTGATTTACCACTTCTTGTCACTCATGTCATTTTTGATCTTCTAATCGATGTCTCCTTACTGTTCTCTTTTCATCTCATTGATTAGATACTTCAACAGCTAAAGGTGATAAGAAATGGGCAATTGATTAGACAAACTCCCACTTATCATGGCTGAGTTTGTAAGCTTCAAGAGATGGGTCACAATCAAATTGATACTCCAATAGCACTCTAAGATCAGAGAATTGTTTGAGAGAAGCATGACTTGAGTACCACTGGGTGGAAACCTTGTGGACTAGACCAACTTTGCATTTCAACATTGCACAGCCCTTGATAGCATTGTTGAGTGTGGTTTTCAGTTGACTGCTGTGCTTAATTATTTTGTGGAAGGATTGGATTGGGGTCAAAACACTTCCTATCTCTGTATGAGAGGTAGGCTCAATGAATAAGGGAATAAAAGGCTGTGGGATGCTGGGATTGAGCGTGTTGATGGGGGAAGAAGCAGTCTTGTGATTGAATACTGCCATTCCTGCCTTTGCTACAAGGATGATGACATGGGCCACGCACCCATGGAGATGTTGGGAAGAATCAAATTGTGGTATCATTGTTAAAGGGCCTTGTCCCATTGTGGTGTTTTTGGAGGTGTTATCTTATCAGTGGTGACACAATAAAGCCAATTGGTGATGTGAAACTGATCAAGAACATGCTTTAGAAGGGTAGCAAGGTCACAGCCAGTATGAGGGCCTTCAATTACCTTCAAAGCTAGAGTGGTTCTGTGAATGTTGAAATCATTGGATATCCAGTGTGCAGTCACATCCATCATTGTGGTATTGGAAGGTGAAGTCCATCCATCACAGGTTATGCTGATATGTTTGACAGACAAGAGAATGCTGACAATGGTGTTCCAAGTTGATCAATAGGATTCCAGGATGTCATCAGAGATACAAGTGCGCTTTGACAACAATGGGAGAGCTTGCGGGTTGACCATAGTGATGAGCTTGCAAAGTTCAACTGCATCCACTACGGCAATTGGAAGCTTTCAGTTGACCACTAAGCAAACTAAAACATCCTTCAGATTTGCTTGGTTGAATTTTTGGACCTACACAGATAAGAAATAGAAAATGGTTGATGAGTAAAGATGGGAATGATGGAATTTTACCTTTTGAATCTTTCCATCAACAAAAAAGCAGCCAGAGTATGTTGCTTAGTTGCAACTGGTGGTTCAATATGATGACATCTGGAGAGATGTCAAATCATTGATTTAGTGCTGCTGTGTTTGTCCAAAGCAAGCGGTTTGTTGCATATCACAGCTGGAGTTTTGGGGTCTTTGATGGCAGCAGAATCAATGAAACAATCTTTGGATTTGCATACAATCTTTATGATGCCATCAATTTCTTCTTGAGTGAAGTACTACCACACCCACAAAGACAGTGCAGTATTTGTGGTAATGTCAGAGTTTACTGTGATGATAGAACCCGTTTTGTGTCTCTCATTATGTTAGGTTTGCATGTCCCAGGGCGCATACTGTCAGCCTACACAATATTGCTGGGCCAGATCACAGTCCTACTTTGCAGGCTCCAGTGGAGGCACACAGTGACATGGTGGAGGCTTTGGTTAAGCTAGAGAAACCAGAAGGGTTTTTCTCTGTGCTTTTAAACTGAATAATGGTGGAATCATACCATCATCTGAAATCACACTGTAATGTATCATCTTTTTGCATTATTGCAGCACAATCACTCTCCTGAAGCAATGCAAACTCAGCATGAGCCCCGTTACCTGCAGGGTTGGTGTGAGGAGTGCACATCTGTTGGGCGTACTCTTCACTAACAATGTGACAATAAAGGTAAAGAGTGGTCTTCATGTGGTACACCCAAGTGAAGACTACAGCTAGTTGACCTCTAAGAAGAGGATTTAAGGAAGGGAGAAAGAGATTCAGGGCAATGAAGAGCTAGTACGCTCTAACCTTGTGAGACTGCAAGGGGCAGGCTTTAGGATTTGGCAAACCAAAGATCCTGAAGGCTACTTTAGACTCCATGTAAAGGAGGAAGCTTTGCTGCTTTACGGTTTATTTCTAGAGGATATGATGGCCCAAGGCTCGTAGAAATCAATATTGGGGTGCTCAGCAATGGAACCCGTAATGCTCAAGTTTGGTCTTTAGACTACACAACCAATCACATACTCAAGGATCCTTTTGATAGGATTTCAAGTATAATGTGATTCTGATGTTGTGATGTGTTAAAAGATGGGGGATGAATCAAGGGAAGAAGGGGGATTTATATATTCACAGGTCAAGCGTCAACTTGTGGTTGGCATGTGATTCTTGTCTCACTTGTGGTTGACACTTGGGTTAGGTTTGTTACATATTTAATACATTATGTACATGTGTTTATGTGGCTCTTGACACTGAGCCTTGAGATGTACTTATGGATTTATACAATAATACAATATTACATTTGTTACTGTTAGCCCATGGTCCTGTAATCAGGGCTCAGGGCTGACAGTTGGGGATCTCTGGCTTCCATACTGTTGGTATGGTGCCTCAGGCTAATTATCTCAGCTCCCCATCCCTGTACCAACTCTGACTGAGCAGGAGCTGGGCTGGAGTACAAGAATCCCTGGTATTCATTGGGGAACCAAGCTACCATAAATATAGCACAGCGGCATGATATCAAGGGCAGATAGGGAGAATTTACAGACAAGGAGGGCCTTAAAACAAGTCATAAACAGCCATAAGAGACTTGAGTCATTAAAACCTAGAGTATAAGACAGTATTTATTGACAGAGACTCTGAAGACTTTCAAGATTTCCTGCTCTCCCAGGCTCAACCAGCTAACACTTGATGTGGAACCAACAAGAACCGGCAATTAGATTGGCCCCCAATTTTCAGTCTTGCGGTTTGAGGACGCAGGAAGGGGGCAGCTCCATTGGAAGCCTTTTTAAAAAGTGCTTGGGGTAGACTTCTTCATGCTGAATGCAAGCTCAACCATGCCTACACACCCTGACAAAAAGATCAAGTTCAACCTCTTTTGAAAATCTTTTGATGTATTATTGATATTGCTTTGGATTAGTTTCAAACTCTTCTATCAACATATCTAACAAGAAAAATCTCAACTATATGAATATATAACCCCTTAACCCTAACTCGTCTTTTGTTGAAAAACAGTTTTATAAAACAGAACCTTTTCAAACAAACGTAACCCCCCCAACCCCCCAAAAATATGCTCAAAGAGACTAAATTTTCAAAATGCTTCAATATATATACCTTTCTTTAAAAATAATCTTTAATGTTCTCAATAAACCACGATATAGATTTCTAATTCGATTGTTGACCCAAGACCAAATTTCAATTGAATACTTAATCAATTGATCAACCATCAAAAGGTCTTTGCCATTTATGACTTAATTGAATATATGCCAAATTAATATTAGATTTGAAAGTGATTTCTACGATTTGATCATTTTTTGCCGATTCAATATAATCTCGAGTAGATGTCACACAAGGTAGTAAATTCGGAAGTATATCAGGTTTATAATGTCCACTAATATTTTCAGCAATCGCTTGACTTGTAAAGGCTGGAGTATACTTTCCTTTCTTTTTAGAATCATTAAATAAATATCTTAAAGTCTTAATTAATGGTCTAAGGAGAAAAAAGAAAAAAAGAAAAGTTACAATCGGTTTTGAGAAAACAAAAAGATTGGTTCGATTTTAAATCATATCATGTATCGAGAAATTAATGCTTACCTATAAATCAATCCTAAAGGTGTCCAATCTTTTTGCAGAGCGTATTGGTTCGGCTCACGTTGCTCTAAAACGTGTTGTCGAATAGCATATGCCAGTAGACCATCAAAGTTCTTATCACATTTCCAAGTCTTAGATACCAATTCCGGAACATTAATCGATCGTTCAATCGTATCCTTACTAAAACTTTGCCAAATCATAGGTTTCCATACCTTTTGGTCTTGCAAACGCAATCCAATTCGACATAATGCGATGATCAAACCTTGTAAAGCTGGATCAAGTATAAATGCGTGAATCGCGTACATTAACGGCTTTTCAAGTGGCTTGCATTCTTTGATATCGATGTGGATCCCCTCTGCTTTGGTGGCAGATGACGAGCTGGCTCGTGAGGCCGAACTCGTAGATGGCTTGGTAGAGTCTTCGACACTCGCTCGTTGTTCAGGCTTGGATAGATTAGCGTCTGTGACGATCGAAGGTCGGATGATTCGCTCCTTTCGATCGGATGGACTAGTTTCTTGTTTGACTTTTCTTGACTTAACCTCCGTACTACATTCCGATCGAGGTGTGGTCTCGGTACTCTGCTGCTGTGAATCTTGCTTACTCTCTGATCGCACTCGTTTTCTTGTCCGCTGGCGCAGTTGTTCATCTCGATCCTCGCATATCTTTGCAGCCCTACGCTGGGCAGCAATACGTTCTGCTTCGCTGCCGGCGCTGATGTGTCTTTCTGAGGATCTATGCGCACGTTCCTCGTGGTTTCGCTCGGAGCCTTCGCTACGCGTACGCTCTTCCAAGCGCGAGCGTTGTTGCTTGCGTGCACGTTGTTCATCGCGTGCACGTTGTTCATCGCGTGTGCGTTGTTCCAGGCGTGTACGATGCATCTCGCGCGCACATTGCTCCTCACGCGCAATTCGATCCTGACGTGCACGTTCTTCCTTTTGCTCACGTTCGTGTATTCGAGCCTGTTCTTGTCGTGCAAGTTCTGCCTTTTTCCCCCGTTCCTCTCGGTCTCGCTCGCGTTTATCTCTTTGCGCAAGTATGTTTGAAAGCTCTGCGCGAGTACGTTCTCTTTCTTCTTGTGATTTTGTCAAGTCTTTCTGTTGCTCATGTCTACGTGATTGTTTTGTGCGCTCGACGGGAGTATCCTCTCCATGCATGCCAGGGGGTTCATCCACATCTCGGAATCGAGCAAATTGAGGAGATTCTTCAGCTCGATCTATGGGAATAGCCTGATTAGATTGAGGTTCTGTGTTCGGTTTATTTTGTGACTGACCATGGTCTTTTATTGGGAAACGAGATGGGCTACCAGGTGGAGTTCCAGGGGAGATCAGAGGAGGAGTACGGAAAAATCCAGGGGTGATAGGGCCTGAATAAGGTGGATGTAAATCATCCATGTTGAATGGACCTGTAGGGTATTGACTGAAAGAGTTGATACTTGGATTTGGAGTAAATTGAACCGTTAGCACAGGAGAAGGAGCAATACTAGGAGAATAAGATTCAAGTTTTGAAAATTTAGCGGGTCTCAAACTCTGCTCGGGTTGATCGTTTTCTCTCTTAATATTTTCTGACGGTATATCCGGTATATTTATTCTTAATAGTCTCTTTGAATCAGATCCTGGTTTGTGCAATGGTTTGTCTGTTTTGATTTGATTATCGAATGAACCTGAGATCCGTTCTTCAATTCCTCTGTGTGATGAATTGAAGTTATCAGTCTCGTGATCCTGATTTGAATGAATTGAATTTTGGTCATTTTCGGATACAACCGTATGGTGATCAGGTTCAGATGGCGAGCAACGAGGTGCGGCTCTGGTGATAGGTGAAGTTTGATGATGAGTTTGATCTTCAGATAATGTAAATAATGATGTTAAGGTAGTAGTTGATGGTTGATTGATTTGAAATGGATTGCTATTGACTCGTTTTGGAAGGTAGTCTTGATTATTTACTATTCTCGATGGGGGTATCACATGTGGCCATGTGGGTCGATCAATCAATGGTTGATCTTTAGATCCTATGAGAGGGGTCGGTCTGATTGAATTGAAATAAGTAGGAAGATTGAGTCGAGCTGAAGTGGTGGGATTCGAATTGAGATAGGAGTACGGAGTTTCATTAGTAGAGATAGTCGAATTTACACTTGAATCTACTGATGCACGTTGATGGGCCGTTGATTGATAATGTGAGTTTCCTTGAATTGGATCTGGGTTTGTTGATGAAGATTGATGATTACGTGGTTTTAATAATGATAATTGATGAATGCTAGGTACGACTGTGTTTCTTGGACTATGAGAGTTGAATTGATGATAAGTAAGATTTGGGTCCGGTTGATGATTTCGAGTGTTAGAATGTTGATAAATTTGATTTCTTAAAAGTAACGTAGATGGCCAAGAATTTATAAGACGAGATAGAGCAGGTCCAGTTGTCCATTCGAAGTCTTTGATCAGTCAAATCCAGATCAAAACATCAGTTAAGGCAAGTTGACATAATCCAAACTTAAAACTTACGTGTATCTAGGTTTGAATGAGTTGGATACGAATTTGAGCGAGTTTGATGCGAGTTGGAGAACGGTTGAGAAGGAAGATTAGAGGATGAGTCCATTTCGTGTATCGTTGAACTTGTATCAGGTCAAGGATAAAAGTTTTACGAGGAGTTCATTCGAAGAAATTCAAATTTTAGTCCAATCGGTGGTTTCAGGAGAGTACGATAATTTTCTGAGACTGATCAACTGTGCGGATCGATTGGACGTCGGACTACTCTGCTGACAAGCCACAAATGGTTTTTTTGATTAAAATCTGGTCTGCTCTTTAAGATTTTGATAGGCTCATCCAAGTGGAAAACTGTTCAACCTATTTACCAAGTCGAAAGATGCTCAATCACTTGCTCAAATCAAGTTGAGTGACTCTTTGAAATCGTTTCTTATAACAGAGCAAACTCGCTAAGCTGCTGAGCCCTGCGGGGAGGTTGATTGAGTGTTAGAGACTGAGAATGATATATAAGTGGAACACTTTGAATCGTGAAGTACAAGTGATGAAGTAAGTAAGAGAGATGGTCGAGTAAGAAAATGGAGAAAAGCGGATGAAGTGTCAGGACGAAGTGATGAATGGAAATCTTTTTGGCAAGTTCGATTTGATTTTTTTTTAATTTGAGCAAGTTCTCTCACCAAGTCGACTTCGATTCCGCATTCGTAGTCATCGCCAGGTCCGGATCATCCTGTTCATCTTTAGATTAAAACCCTTCTTCTTCATTGCCCTCTATACACAATCTTCAAGCCTTTTCATCCTGCATTGGGCGAAGACACACACACAAATTCACAATTTCTGCCACAAATTACTTAATCTGTCGATGGCTTACCCCTTGATGTTCCAAAATCCTAAATACAAGCTCTATGGATGGTGCTATGGATGTGGCTTGATCTTGCCCCCTTTGTAAACTTATCGAAGTCCCCATAAGTTTACCCCCTTTGGAACTGAGCGCAGCATGAATGAGTGACTCTACACATCAGTTTGGCATATATCACCCTTGTAGTGGCTGGTGGGGGCTGACTGGGGACTCTTAGACATGCACTAGAGTAGCATGCACTGCTGAATGCTTGGTATGGGTTGAAAAAATAAAGGCTTCCTTTTGAGTCCTGGACAGCTCATAAATTTAAGTCACAATGTCCGATGCCTTACGGTGACAAGAAAATTCAATTTGAATCTTGATCATGAAAGATACAGCCGTTGTGAGAAATAACAGGTTTTTTTTTCTCCCAGATTTTACTCGGTTTCTGACTTTCCGTTTTTTGAACTTTTGGACTGAGGAGTGGGTGAGGATCTCGTGTTCCTCTTGCACATCCATCTTTCGACCATGGATTCTTATTGCTCTTCGCTCGTCCGAGCAGCTTTTCTAATCGCTCATCCCTCATTCGAGACGAAGGACGTTACCACCCACTGCACTGCGATGAACTTGCCGGCGGGCACTGCGATTACGCCATTTTCTCTTGGATGCCTTTGATGACGAGGTATTCAACCAAAAGAGCATTTCATACGTCTTCTCCTTGATATCTTTCATCCCAGTTTTTTGACATCGATTCAGCTTGGTGATTCATTTCTTCCTTTGTCGATCCCATTTCAATTGCTTCTTCTGAAGCCTATCATCTCACCCAACCCGTTTCTATTGGTCCAGTGTCGTTCATTGATCTACCTCTGTTAACTGCATCTTGGAAACATCATTTCAAAACAAAGCTCATATCAGTACGCATTTTGATCACTTTTAGGGTTGATTGCGGCTGACCTCTTGATCCTTTCCGCCAGAGATGCCATACAATCGTATTCAAAGGCTGATCCACGAGGACAAGAATCCCAATGAGAGTATGTCACATCACTCTGCAGATGTCACATATTCAAAGTCCTGATTTTGTTATCTTGCAGTGTTCAATCCGGCCTATTTGATCACAGACGGGGACGACACCCCAGCGCTTCATACAACTCTTGAGCACCCTTGGCGCCAAGGTACAGAAAGCCGTCAATTGATGGAAGACAGTCAATCTTTCATCATCGCGGTGAGTTTCAAAATTCACACAAACAATACGGTTGAGGCCACCCCTGGAATGGTCAAATCACTGTCTCCTTTGAAATTGACTGCCGGGAAAGAGAAACCTCCCCCTCCCCCCCAATACGCCATTATTGACACATCTGACTTCATGGATGGACAAATCTTGGACTTCAAAGTATTCCTGTATGGAAAATCTTTGAATGAGCTTGACCCCATTGCTGACCTGGAATGCTAGTGTGGGTTCCAAGGAAACCAAATTGATTGATTTCAAAAGTTTTCAAGATTTTGTCAACAACTTGGGAAAGAGCCGTAGCTCCAAAGGCATCATCCACATCATGCTGGAGAAACCTCAGGTTAAGGCAAAGAAGAATGCCCAGGTGAGTTTCTTTGCCTCTTCTTCATGTACCTCCTCTGTGTGTTTTATTGACTTGATCTTGTTTAATGTGTTCTGCTTAACTCTGTTGCTCATATGTAGGCTAGCAGAGTGGTGGCTTTTATCCAAGGAAACAATGGCCCAACTCCTATTGAGGTGGAATTAGCTGCTTCCCAGGAGGAAATTGCGGCGGCTAAAGAAGAAACCTCGGTATGTTTTTCTGTTTTGGACATTTATTATTTTATATAACATTTTATTAATTTGTCATTAAAATTTGCATCTAGGTGGTAAAAGCTGCCAAGGATCTTGAGCTTGAGGCAGCAAGCATTTACCAGGATCATCTCAAGCGCACCCTTGGAGGGGATGGCGCAATCTTAACGGCGCCCTGGGACCCAAACGTTTATTATTGTTTCACTCATTGTTGTGCTTTCATATGGGTGCAAGCAGTTGTACGTTTTATTAATTCCTTCATCGCTGGCCAAACTGATAACAAATACGCACTCAAGTGCAATGGGTACACAACCCGCAGAATTGCTCCGCACACAGTCGAGTACAAGCACAAGATGTTCAAGAGCATGCTTGTTCATCAGGATATGATTGTGGACAACCGTATCAAAAAACAATACCCCATCAATGCCCAAACCAATCCAACACAAAAGTCGGTGTCGTATTGGTATTGTATTGCCAATCTGAGATCAAAAGTTGGATTTCTCCATATTGGTTGGCCCAATCCGATATGGGGAGTCCATTTTTTTCATATCGGGTATTGGCAACACAACACACAATTGAACCAATATGAGATTGTATGATCTTCTTTCTTGACAATGTAACATATCATTATAAATAATAGTCGCAATAGCTGTGTAAGTGTGCTATATACATTTTTTGAGTCCCAATTTTCCTTTTTTACCACATCATATTGGCTCGTATTGCTTGAGCGATGCAATATGAGCCGCCAAATTTTTTTCTCTCCATGTCGTATTGGGTATTGGTTCAGATATGTTGGCTGCCCAATACAACATGGAAAACATGTGATTTGTTGTATTGTGTCGGATTGGTTTGGGTGTTGACCCCATCCTGTCACCGAGTTCCAACCAATTGAGGTCAAAGGGAAGAAATCATCACAATTTCTTTTCAAATTCCCCTGCCGTCAAAATAAAAGTGAAGCTCAAACCAAACAGTCTGGCCAGTTTGAAGCACACAAGGTCATACTCTCTCAGTGGGGTGAATTCCCAAAAGAAGGTCAAGAAGGAACCATGTAAGTGTTTTCCTGTTTCAAAACAATCTTTGGATAAAATATAATCATTATGATTATATTTCATTTGCTTGTTTGTTCAGCTGATTTGGGGATTAATGTGAGCAATTCGATTTTGCTCCCAACTGACGAGGAGCTCCCCAAGTCTGACCCATACTTTCCCAACTCTGACATGGAGTTTGTGGTCACCCATGCCACACTTTTGGACGACTTCCTTTTAGAATGGAATCTTCCCCACAACAATCTCTCCACTCGGGCCATACTCCGCAAGGCCCAAGTGTCTTCTTGGACCAATCTGGTGCCCAGCATGCAGATGACTGCTAATGTGTTGACTGGGCATGGAATGCCCTTTAAGTTGGCTCTTTGGCTCATTGAAGCGGCAGCTGAAGCCAATTCTCAAAATCAACCATCGACTTTGGCAAAATGAATCTTGGTCACCAAATCCTAAAGACCAGCCTGGGCTGAACTGATGCTTTAGATCCCTTCATCCCCAACAATGTTTCCTATTGAAGAACAATTGTATTTCTTTTATACAAAATCAATAAAAAAATTAAAATTGTTCCTGTTCCTGTTTGATGTTAAAGATTGTATTTTCATTGTACAAAATTTAACAAAAAAATTGCCTTGCTACTGTTTGCCAATGTTACCTAGATGGTGATTGAATTTGTAATGGCTGTGGAGTGCCTCCTTTGTTAAACTGATATCTGCTTGCTTTTTGTTGCTCGTTTTTGCTGTTTTGACACATGTGCCATGCTGTCAACTGCCCATGAGCTCACACTGTTCCAAAGTTTCTGTGCTACCAAGTGCTCATGTGCTGTAAGGAACCTCAAGAACAACCATCATCCAGTTGACGGACTTGATGATGGTTGTATCTCATCAACATAGCCATGTATGGGGACAATGTACACGGCCAGTTTATCAAGATGATGCTCAAGTATGATACCTCTTTGTGTCATCATATTTTGGGTCTTTTCAAAGTCTCATTGATTTCATTTAGGACAAAATCATACTCTTATTGGTCAAAGGCAAGTTTTTTCTTGGAACACTTGTTTGGTTCAATTTCAACAACCAAGATAAGACAGGAAAACAACAATAAGAAAGGGTACAACTTCTGATACACAACGGCTCTACATATAGCCACTCCCTTTGAACAGTTTGTTGCACAATTGTTCAGTGAAGACTTCCATCATGGTAACCCATACCACAGCTCTTCAACCTTTGGCATCAATAGCCCCTTGAACTCCCTGGGTTCTTCTGAGGCTTGCTTTAACCAGAGAAAAACCTTTCTCAATAGGATTGACATCTGGGCTATACACTGGTAAATAGATTAATCTTACACCACGAGCTTCACATAGATCAGCTACCGAGCCCCCGTGATGAATGGGGGCGTTATCTAAAACTAGCACAGAATTTCGAGCCGGCCATGGATTCATGGCCAGTAACTGTATAAAAAAGTAATGACATTAGCACTGAAATAAAATACAATTGGATGACTGGGTGACAACTCACCAAGTCATTTTCCAAAAACTCTTCAGAGTGTATGCAAGAATATCTACCTGGCTTGATGGTAATCTCCAATAAGCCATTAAGAGAAGTCACAGGTAAGGCTGACCAACGGCCCAATTGAGTGGGCCTGGCAAGTTGGGGGGTACACTCTCCAATAGGAGCACGTGCGTACTTGCAATACATGCACCTTTCTGCAATCACAGTCTCATCTAGGGGGCCAAGGCAATAAATTAACAAGGTGAAAGTGATGTGAAGCAATCTGAAGGAAAGTACTTACCGGCAATGTGAGGGTAGAGGACTTAATTGAGGACTCTATGCTCACTAAATGGGTCAAGTAGGGTAGTATTATTTTTATGTATAATGTTTATATTTCAATTATAATGTAATTACAATAAAAATAAGACTAAGAAGAGAAGAGGAAAGGGGAAAGGCTGGTCTGTTTGGATAAATCCAGACAGACTACAGTTAAGAGACTCCTGAAGAGGAGGTTTGTAATTATAATATATAAAGGTTATAATTAATGAAGGATGGATCCCACAGTCCTTCCTTTAATCTTTTAAGTAACAGATTAAAGAGTGAAATAAGGTCACTACACTGGTTGTTCTTAAAGTCACCAACTTATGGTTGTTCTTAAGGTCACCAGCCTGAAAGTACTTGTATGTAGGTCACTAGCCTTGGGTTGTTGGAAGGTCACCAACCTAAAATAGTTCCTACTTGGGGGAAGTAGAGGATCCAGAAGGAGTGAAGATATTACTTACTTTTAATCAAGGAACAGATTAAAGTAATGAAGATATCACTAGTCTTATATTTATAAGACTCTTGATGTTACTTCAGTAGAACTTTAATGGTTCTTAAAAGTGGTGTGTAATAATTGCTTGGGGGAAATCTCTGAAGGCTGAGAGAGAGGAGGTTTATATACTCTTCTCTCCAAACCTAACTGTGGTGATATTTGCTTATATCACTACTGTGGTTTTAGGGTTTAATTATTACTATTAGTTATGGTTATCATTAATGCTACATAATTACATATACCTGTTATGTATATTATGTAGTATAAGCATTTTAACTCTTGACACTGAGTTATGAGATGTAAATAATGTTTTATTACATATTACATATGATTTTACATGTACTTGTATATGTAATTAATGTTTATATGTATTTTATTCCATGTTACATGTGTTTTATAAGCTATGTGTACATGTAATTAGTTGTTTAAAAGGTGGTTATCTATGTTACAAGTTAGTCTTTGGGTACATACATATGTACCCAGGGCTGACAGGCAAACACAAGGCAACAAGGGTTGATGTCTAGCACCCTTGCCATGTAAGCCCCTTGCACGCCCAAACTCTGGTTTGGATGAACAGTATGACTTTCTTTCAAGTCCAACACAATTGGTCTTGCAGCTTGGTTGAAAGAGTCTTGATGGAGACATGTTTATTGAATTCATCCAAAATCTTCCTTTGAAGTTTGTCTAGTTATAAGGTCAGGTCAATTCAAAGGCTATCCAGGACAAACAGGTGCTTGGGACCTCCTAAGACCAAAGGAGCGCCACAATCCATTTGGTCCAAGGGGTTTGTAACTACTGCCCAAGTCTCCTGGTAGAGATTGACCCAGCAACATACAGAGGTAAGAGCTAAGTCCATGCCAAGAGTTCTGGAAATGTCCTGAAACCAAACCCCAGTGAGGGCTAAGCAAACAACTGCAAGCTTGATTTCTGGGCTGTAATGAGCTATTTAAAGCTGTAAAGCATCCATACGAGCAACGTTGGCCCGGTTACGTTTTTTTCAACGTGTAACGCGGCGTACCGTACCGGGGCTATGTTATGGGTCTTTGCCCAGGATCGAATTCGAGTCAGGGGTGCGTTATCATCCCATTTCACCCTTTTTTTTTTTGGTGAAAGTACGTTATCACACCTGTGACAGCTTTCCCAAAACATATGGGTACGTTACAGGTGATATCAAAGAAACTCTCCACTATCGGAATCCCCATATCAATCCCTCATACCTCATCGAGCTGACCACCGATTGGGTCAGCTCATCTTCACTTACGAGATCATGGATCCGATTCCTGATCATGTGGACCACCGGTTGCGTCATCATCACACCAGGCCAACCTTCAACCCCAACCGACGTTCAATGGAGTCCTTCCTTCCAACCCCAACCTCTCGTGTGAGTATCTTTTTTCTCCTTCAGCAATATCACATTTTGACCGATCTAATCAAATTTGGATTCTTCAACCATTTCACCTTGATTAATCTTTAGCTATCACCTTTTCGATTTATCTGTTCTTTTCTATCTGTTTTCCTCTCCGTCAAAATCATGAAAGCTTCAGGATATGAAACTGACGAGTCGCAAGTTCCTCGCCGTCGTACCTCTCGTGTCACTACCCCTGTCCAATTGGGTCCTGGGATGATTCAACCATCCCAGGATAGCCGGCGTGCTCTGAACAGTTTACCTTCCTCGATTGCACCTTCAAATGCATCTGCTTCGAATGCTCCTTCTTCAATCACTCATTCCCGTAAACGTGTACGATCCGCCTCCAGATCCGATAACGATTGCGAGATTGTTGGAGGACACATTGTTCCCAACAAAGCTTCCAAGTCTAAGAAGACTGGCAGCCAAAAGACAACTGCTTTGATGACCAAAGGCAAAAAGGTATGTAAACCTTTCCATCACAAGATCTATTGATTGCATTCATGAAACTGACTTTGTGTTTCTATATAGAATTCTGGATCTACTGCGTCTCAAACTCACAAGCCAGCACCTTGCATGAATCTTCCGCAAGACTCTGACAATGATAACGCGCGAATTCGTAAACGAACAAAGGTTTCTCAAGCTGAGAAGGCAGGAGAGGAGGAGGAGGAGGAGTATGATGATATCTGCCTATACTTTGACGCACCAACTCATGGCACGGACAATGTAAGTGTCACCTTTTTTGCTATTTCGTGTATTTTTGTTCCATTCCATCTACTACTAGTTTTACTCAAACACTTGTTAAAATAATTTATATCAGGATTTGAATGAACCACCGATCGAGTTTAAATGCAAATATTGTCACAAGAAATGTAGAGGACATGGCACCAGTCGATCGAACCTCAAAATCCATCGAGATGGCTCGAATCAAGCTGGAAGGTCTAAGGTGGGTTGTCCACGACATAAGGATGCCATCGCTCAAGGATGCAAACTTCCTCCGACTGTAGCCGAGCGCCACACTAAGAAGATGGCAGACGAGCATAAAGTTGGGACAATGAAGAACTTTGTTACGGTCATACCCAAGTTCGATGTCAAGACATTCAATCGTATCATGATGCTGTGGCAGGTCCGACATGCCTTGCCATGGTCTCGCATTGAGGATCCACTCCTCCGAGCAGCATTTTACTATCTGAAGCCTGATGCCCGCCTCTTTCACCGTAAGTGGTCAGCTGACGAGGCCAAGCACCTCCACCTTCACCTGTGTGATACTGTTTATAATGAGCTGCAAGTAAGTTATCCGGTTTTATGTCTTTTTTTATATAATGAATTTCAAATTGATCGATTGTTTTTTAACTTGGTTTTGTATGTTCCAGTCGATTCCAGGAAAATTCACGCTGACCCACGACGTTTGGACAGTCAAAGGTAACTTGTGGGCATTCATTGGTGGCGTTGCTAGTTACATCAACAAGGACTGGAACTTTGTGTCTCGACATGTCACCCTTAAACGAGTGGCTCATCACCATAAGGGTGCATGGCTTGCTGAGCCACTCGTCACTGTGCTCAAGAAACGGGATATGTACAAAAAGATAAGTGGTTCACTTTTGTCGATTCGTTTTTCAATACTAACCATAATGAAAAGTTGAACGCTGACATCAACCTTCTTTTGCCTTTACATGTTAGCTCATACCACTGACTCGGCCTCAAACAATGTTACCTTGGCCACCGAGATGCATCGACAGCTACAAGAACATCATGGGCGCTCCACCTCGACATCTGATGAGTATTCCTGGAATCCTGATACAATGCACGTCAAGTGCATGTGTCACAAAATAGGTCTTATTGTCAACGCTGGAATAGCAGCCCTTGGCCTTCCTATAAGTCAAGATCGTCACTCAGTTTTAGGGTTTTTTCCTTCACCAGAAAACTTACCAACCATCATTGAAGATGGCACCACTGATTACGATGAAGATTCAATTGATCCTTCCATTATTGTACCCTCCGATGAAGAGTCTGATGTCGAACATGGAGAAGATGAACTTAGCAATGCAGAAAACGAAGATGGAGACGATGTTGAAGACGAGGATTGGGATATGGAGGACATTGACGTTATACCAAAGCCCAAATCAAGAGTTAATGGACTCAAAGTCTTAACTCAAGATGTATGTATATGTTTTTCATATGGATCAATTTGGCACTGACTTTTGGTTTGTATCTACTCGGTAGCTTGACTTTGTAGTGAAGAAGATCACTCGATCAAGTGCTTGGCGCAAAGATTCCAATGCGCGTCGATTGGATCCCAACAGGAAGCGACCAGATGGAGACGGACCTGGCCGATCTTTAATCGCCGGCCATGGGATTAGATGGAATGTTTGTCTGGACAGATGGGAGCGCGCTTATGAGAATAGGGATGTAAGTGATCCTTACTTTTTGTTTAATGTGACATTAAGTTAATACCACCTTTTTTTCAATAGGTTATCGATGATATGTTGAAAGAAGACGCTTCCATGGCTCAATCTAAGAAGTCAAGGCATTCGAAGAAGGCCAAGAAACCGAGTGGCTATTTTCAGGAGACTTTCTTCTCGATTGCGGACTGGCGAGCTGTCAGAGACTTGCTTGACGAGCTCAGAGTAAGTACTACAATCTCAACTTTTCTCTGACATAAGTTGACTTACAACATCTTTGTTCATAGCCTTTCAAGACGCTAACCAAGCGAATGGAAGCCAACGCACCCACTGGGTGCATGGTCCTTGCTGAATATCATCGATTGCTCTCTTCTTTGAAAACTCGTTGTGCCAGTCTCCCATCCGATGATCGCATGGGACCTTTCCTGCAAGCTTGTATTGAACGTACAAAGGTATACTTTGACAAAGCATTGGGGTGTGATACGCTTCTCATGGCAACGGTATTCCATCCTGCCCTTCGGATGAAATTATTCAATCACACTCTTGGATTGGATCATTTAACAACTCTTCATGCCACTGAATACCTTCACGAACAATATACTGAACGCCAGTACCAAATGAGACCGCCTTCTCATTCCGAATCCCCTTCCAGAACTCACAACGAAGAGTCCAACCAAATGCCAGATATATATAGGCTTTACAACCACGAAAGTACCGCTGTAGCAAACAAGTTGGATATTTATCTGAAGGGTACAGACCCTTTGACTGCTCCTGGTGTTGAAAATAGTCCAATGCCAGTTCTCCAATGGTGGAAGGTGTGTAATCCCATTCCATTGATCATTCAGTTTGAATCATACTGATTGTGTTGCCCATCTTCAGGAACACCAACATAAGTACCCAATCTTGGCCTCTCTAGCACGAGATTATTTATCAGTTCCAGGGTCTTCTGCAGCCGCCGAGCGAACTTTTTCGGCAGCCACAGACGTGACTACCGCTGTGCGAGGTCGATTGAATCCTCGCACAATCGAAATGTGTGTTGGCAGCCGATTGTGGATACGTGAGGGGGTGGAAATCACAGCTGACGAGTATGAAGATGTCGGATTGGTCCTCCAATCTTACGAGGAATCCACCCAGAAAATTCAACAAAAAGGGAAGACTTAACCCCTTTGATAATCAATCAAATACATGTGTGATCGAAATTTTCAGTCTGCTTTATTTTTAATCTCCTTTTCCTCAATCATAAAATCATAATACAAAAAAAAATCTCATTCTTGAACTCATATTATAAAGATCTACAAAAAAATTAAATTTTCTATTTGTTGAACAAATATATGGGCCACCAAGCGTCTGTTTTCTTTTTTCTTCTATTGATGTTTTCCTTTTTTTGTTTCTTTTTTTCTTTTCTCCTTGGTTTTTGGCCGCAAACGCAGCGTAACGCAGGATAAACCACTACGTTACTAGCTCGTTTGTGCCAAAAAAAATTTGTATCGTTGTGTTTGGTTATGTAATTGAATGTGTGTTGGTTACGTTACCCACCGTGCCCCGGAGAGAAACACCAAACCCGTTACGATACCCCAAAACGGCCGAGTAGCGTAATTTAGCGTATTGGTCCAACATTGATACGAGCCTTGCAAGATAGGAAATTGGGCAACAAAAGAAAGAAAACACGCCGGTGGCATTCCGGTGATGTGGGGAAATGGAGGTAGGATAGTCAAGGTGGAAGGAAGAAGGGCCTTGCAACAAAATGAGGCAAGGAATTCCAGAAGAGGTCTGCCCCACTGACACATCTATGTCCGTGATCGGAACTTACCAGAACATCTGCATGATATTCTGTGTGAAACTGTCAAATTGATCAACAGTTTCATTGACAGTTTCCCACTGGAAAAATAGCAAAAACTTGTTTTTTTCAAAAAGTCAAAAACCAAATGAAATCTGGAAGTAAAGAAAAAAACCCTTATTTCTCACAATGGCTGTATTTACTCTTTCATGAAAGAGTGAGTCCTTATTTTTCAAAAGTGGTGTGGTGATCATCTTTCAAAGCCGTAATACAAATCGATTTTGTAGAAAATCAGACACAAAGATTGAACAAATGACAGAACTAACAGCATTGACAGGTTTGGTGCAAGGGGTGTAAAATTTTGCTACACATAAGGGGGTTTCAAGTTTGGATGAGGATTCTGTCTCAAACCAAATTTTTACAATTTGTCACATGACCACCTCTGTGACTGCGCAAGTAGTCATCTGCATATCTTCCACTTGTTATCCTAACTCCTCCTTCAATCCTCTACCAATCCCCTCCACTTTCTCTCTTGTCACTCTATTCCTATTGGCAGGACGGTCTGGCCCCACTGGACAATCAGTTCATCAACAAAGAAACAATGGTGGTGTCTGACCTGACGGGTCAACCCAAGACGCTCACCCTCACGCCTTGTCCACCCTCTGGCTTACAGAAGACGGACATTGCCCAGGAAGTCCTAGTGGGCCCAATATCAGCCACCTTGACTCCTGCAGAGAAACTGAGGAAACAAGACCGGACCACTGCTCCAACTCCAAGTAATCTGGATGAGGTTGATGTGATCACCAGCACCCCTAGATTGGCTTGTATTGCCAAACCATTCACAGGTGTCTCAGATGTCAATGCCAAACCCATAACGGTTCTGATTGAAAGGCTTATTGAGGTTTCAAAAGCCACTTTGATCCCAAAACTTAAGACCAGCAAATTGGTCAAAGTAGATGTTGACTCAGCAGCCAACATTCTACTATTGGCTGGCCTAATCCAAGAACAAGCTAGCATCAATGAGGCTAGACATGTGGTTTTCAAACCAGCTTGCCAAACCATCCCCAACCCCTCCATGTCCCCTTCTTCACAGTTCAACTTCAGAGTCTCAACTTCTCCAATAAGCTTGATATGGTGGTTGAACAACTCGCAAAGTTGAACCCAACACCAAAAAGTCACACAACTAAAAGCCGAGGGCCATCAGGCAAATTTTATGCTCTAGCAGCATCAGAACATGCCCCGGCAACCTCACAAAAACAACAGTCAGCCCAGGCAAAGCCCAGAGCTGAACCACAAACAACACCTAGATCTAGGTCTGACCACTCCATCACGCTTGACCAGTGTGACACAGCAAAGAGAGCTGGTAGTGAAAAAACAATCCCTGAGCTGATCAAATACTTTAAAACTCAATTCAAAGCATACAAGGTTAAGGTTAAGCCAGATGACATGTCTATAGGAATCTCAGGTTCCTTATCAAATCACACAACACATATATCAGTCAATGTCTTAGAAGGAGAGAGATGATCTGGAGAAGATATGAGATGATATATAAAGTTGTATAAGAAGAAAGCTTTCAAATATGAATGAATTTCTTATTATCACAACAATCAAACAAAAACAAACACA